ATGCAATCTGTTGTGCGCGTAGATCTTTAACGAGTAGAGCGAAGGCATTTGATCAATTAATAGTTGCAACTGATAATATCCGGTATCCATCGACAGATAAACGACAAGTGATTTCACTTCGTTGAGCGTTTGATTTGAATATAGAAATGTATTATCAAATGGAATATGCGCAGTGACATGTATAGTCTTGGGAAATGTAATGTTAAATGGATTTAGATCGTTGACTGAATCGATGGCATCAATTCGATGAAGTTTAACATAGCGAATGTGATTGTAGACTCGATGAGATTTCTCGGCGAGATCAGTCGAACGTTCACAGTATTCATTCGAATAATGAAATGACTCGAATGCGTAGGGTAATGTATAGACAATGGTGAGCTTGATTGTATTCGATGGATTCCATCGACAACGAACAAACCACTGATGTTTCTCAATCCAAAATGGACTTCGAAACGTTTGAAGAATTTGTTCGGCTTGCACATCTCGTCTTATGTTCGGCACGAATTCAAAGATCATTTTAAACTGAAATAATTTAAGTCTAGGCAGATGAGTTTCGATAATTTGTTGCCATTCGCTTCCGTCGATGTACGTATTGTTGATCTTTACTTTCAAATGTTGTAAATTCGGAAATTTTTCAAACATAATTTTCATTGTACTCGGAAACACATCGAAAGAAACGAATAGTGAAGTCATAGTATGATTCTGCGATTCCAAATAATCATTTGCAGTATACGATCCAATTGTTGTGCTGAGATGTTCAAGATTCGGCGTGCATAATAACAGGCCAAAAAGAGCTTGCAAACCATATTTAACATTCTGAATCCAAAGAAACTCGATTGTCGATGAGATTGATGAGATCTGAAAGGGTACGATCAGTTTCTTCTGGATACCATTCAGATTACAATATTTCAGACTCGGAATGTTCCATATATTGTCGAACAAATTGAAGATTCGCGTTTGTTTTTCGCCATGCCGATCAGCAATGATTTTCAGAGTAGTTAGAAAATGTAGATGTCGACATTGATGAGTTATTTTCATTAATGTGCCGAGAGATTTAATATAATGTAGACAAAGAGTTTGTAGTCGATGAAAACGATCGAGAGTAAAGTATTGAGAGAACAGTATTTCGGTGAGATTAGGTGTTTCCTCATGCGAAAGACGAAGTGAGCGGATATTCTCGATCGCACATGGAAGGTATTCGTGACAAATCAGATCGAAGTGCTCATTAGGTAAGGATTGAAAACTGAATTGATGAGCCTCGAAGTGAAGATAGATGGCTCGATTTAGACGAGCATTGAGGCCGTAGAGCGCTCGGAGAAGTTGAATCGTATCAAGATAGATGAAGGATTCAAGTAAAACTTCATTTGGTAGGCATTCAAATAGAACCATGTCGATATGAAGAAGAAAAGTCGATTATGTGTTGTATTAATTCTTGTGAAAATTGATTCTACCAGGAAAGAAATGTGCGTCGATAAAAGTGGAAAACTAATTACAAAGTCTTTTATTCCTCGTAGGTCTATTCTAATGAAAATCTTTTCATAACCGTCGTATTTCTCAATGTGGCGTTCTTCTCCATTCGCAGTTCTTATTAATAAAAAATGTCGCATGATTTTCATTTACAATGAATTTTTCTTCCAACGATAGCCAAATCTTTACATCGTCTTTCTTTCTTCATAGTAGACGTTAATACGATTAACCTAATCATATCATTCTGATAAATAATCATATGAATTTAAGGCAAACTTTCGCTTCATATCACAGATAGTTCCTGCTATAATTACCTTTTAAAATGTGATTATTGATTAATTAAAAAGAAACTCTTGCAACGAGGTTCAATTTGTTCGGGATGAACTCGTTTTTTCTTCTGCCAATTTCACCTACATCCGTACCCTTAACATCAATGTTGTTTTGCAATATATACGACAAGGTCTTTTCATAATGAATGCTAAACTTCTTAGCTTCTCCTAAGATACATATAATTTCGTATCTTCCTCTCAAATAACAGCAAATACGTAATTTTTGGGCTGCAGATGGTATGTGTGGAAACTCATGAGCAATGCAATGGCCTAGCGAATCCGTCTGATAACTTGGATAAAGGTGTAGGATACCATTCGTAGTAAATATAGTTAACTCAGAGCTCGTTTTAGTTAAAGATTGCATTCAACTTCTATACAACATCAAGCAAACGCTTGTTGTTGTATCATATAATCTAGTACAATCTAAAATACCACTATGGGGTCAGATCCTCCGGTAATCAGTACATTTCCATTACGTAGCAAATATTTGAGTTTGAGAGGAAGTGCATTGACAGTAACGAGTCATTACAGGTTTTAGCAACAGCCCGTGAGTAATGGAAATCTTCCACTCATGACTCTCTCTCTCAAATGATCGTATTTCATAAAAATTATTCACACCAGCGTAATCTCGCCCTTTCAGCATGTTTTGCTTTTTCTCTCTCTTCCACAGCTTCCAAAGGCTTTGCTTTCGTTGTCATACACAATCTATCAGCGAAATCTTGCAAAAAAAACGAGAAAGAGGAGAATTAATGCGCAAAAAAATGAGTAATGATTTTTTCGATTCTTCAAAATGCATGACGCTTGACAAATCCACTCAAAATGTCTGCAACTAAAACTCACACTTATTTGTATAACTTGAAGAAACATTCTCTACACTTGTTTTAGATTTTCGAAGAATATGGCAACTTCCACTCGATTGAGAAACGATCAGCAACTTGAAATTTTTTGCATTGCTTGGCTAGATGACAACACTCAAGCCACTGATAATCGGGAAACGGAACAACATTTGCGCTCAATTATTAATCGTCTCAAGCGATTTAGAAATGTCGAAGAATGCGAAAGATTTATCAAGGATCGATCGACAGATGATCGAATCATTCTCATTACTAGTGGTCGATTAGGTCGAAAAATTGTCCCAGCAATTCACTCAATCCGGCAAATTATATCAGTTTATATATACTGTATGGACGAGGCAGGTAACAAGGAGTGGTCCAAGATATACACAAAAGTAAGAAAAAGAATCACTGACCATTTGTTTTGTTTATTGATCTTTACCGGTAGGTCAAAGCTGTCATGACTCAATTGGATAAGCTCGTGCTTCGTATCAAAGCCGACCATAAAGTTCAACAAATTATCGAACAGCCATTGTGCATGGATGTATTCACTCCCGGGAATTCAACTGGTAGCGTCAATGGTAAATTCGTTTTCACACAAGTTCTCATCGAATGTCTTTTACGACTTAAATATAACGAGCAGGACAAAAAGGAACTTATCAAACGAGTACAAAAAGAATACGAAGGTAATGGATTCGAGCTGGACAATATCAGAGAATTTCAAGAATCCTATTCGCCTAGTGACGCTATATGGTGGTATACACGAGATACATTCTTTTTCAAGACACTCAATGGTGTTTTACGTACGGAAAATCTTCACATGATCTTTTTGTTTCGTTCGTATATTGCGGATATTCAACATCAACTAAAAAGACATCAAGTTAGAAAAGCTGTGCGCGTTTATCGTGGACAATTGATATCGAAAAATGAACTGAAAAAATTACAACAGTCCTGTGAGCAATTTATCTTTATAAATTCATTCTTTTCGACCAGTGTTAACGACGAAAGCGCTCGGCGATTTCTCTGTGGCAATGATGTTTCGGAGAATCTTGAACGAGTATTATTTGAAATCCATGCTGATTGTCAAACAGCTGCAACAAAACCATTTGCTAATATTCAATCGCTTAGTGATTATCCGGATGAAGAGGAAGTTCTGTTCATGATTGGCTCGATCTTTCGTTTGAAGAGCGTCCTTCGTAGTAACGATGAAGACATGTGGATAGTTCGAATGACGCTGTGCAGTGAAAATGATAGTAGTTTACAAGATGTTCTACGATATATGAAGCAACAATTAGGTGAGGGTGAAACAAGTCTTCGAACTTTAGGAAAAGTCTTATGGAAAATGGGAGATCTAGATTTAGCTGAATTCTATTTGACTCGTCTTCTGAATAATCTTCCACCGCAGGATCCGGTTATCGGCGATCTATATGAAGAGCTCAGCGAAATTGCAGGACTGAGAAAAAATTTTGATAAGAGTATTGAATATAAAAACAAAGCATTGGAATATCAAAAAGCGAAAAAGTTATTGCCTAAACCAGACTCCACTGAAGATCACAAGCCGAAAAGTAAGTCGATAAAAGTGCGAATGTGTTCAACTACATTCTTATTCTAATCTTAAAAATTGAACTTTTATGTCGTTGCAAGAACCTGTATCGCCGATACCTCCATTTAAAAAGTCGCCCACTCCATCACACAGTAAAGAGGCGCCGCTTAATGGAAACAATGTTCCTGCACAAACGTGGCCGGTCTTTTCTGAATTGGGTCTACAGATTGTTTTTGCTCAACACACAAGTGTGATTACGGTCGACCATGGAGCAACACATGCAGAAATTTTGGTTCGAACGCCGGATAACATTGAACTAGTCGGTTCGCTCAAAAATGGCTGCGATGAGGAAGTCTTCGGTGGAAATAGAGTTTTCTTTAATAGACACAGAAGACTGTGGCAATGTCTTTTCGCACCCAACGACAACGGGACATTCACGGCTACGATCTATGCGAAACGAAAATTAGATCTACGCAGCTTTACGAGTGCATGCAGTTACATTCTCGAAGCGAGACAAATTCCTTTGATACCCTTATCATATCCTACCACATGGCAGCTGTTTCACGATCTCGATCTTGAAATCGAAATGCCGTACAATCATGCTACCATTACCTGGCCCAAGAGTGCATCTTATGTTGAAATTCGAATGCGAGCTCCTGATCACGTATACCTCTCATGTGATATTCTATATAACAAACGGAAAATCGATGGTGGAGCGTTGGCACAGTTCGATGCCACTAAGCATAACTGGCAACTGTTGTTTGCGCCCCAGCACACAGGTTTGCATACGTTATTTGTCTATGCGAAACAGGAGAATGATAGTGATCCAACTTTACACTCAGTTGCCCAATTCAATCTTGATGTAACTCATATTAGTCATCCAGTTAAATTTCCAATAACATACAAACAATTCAAGTCAAAGAGATGTCGTATTATTGAACCTCTTTATGGACCACTTAAACAGAACTTTCCAGTGTTGATTCATTGCATAGTGCCCGATGCAGTCGATGTAGATGTGATGATTGACTCCAACTGGAGTCGAAGTCAAGATTACCATGATCCCATTTTCAAGAAAATCGTAACAGTGGGCTCAAAAGAAGTGGAAGTTCTTGGAAAATACGCTCAACAGAACACTTATAGTACACTTTTTAAATATACCGTTGAATAGTCCTTTTTCATCCAACTAAAATCTGAGAAACATACATATGCACTAAAAGACTGGTCATCATCGTGTGCACTGTTGAAATCTTTTTTCTCTCCCACTATGGCAAGTCTAGCAGATGCATGATGGATGTAATTTTAGGAAAGACCTATGAGTACGGCAGCCTTGTTTTGTTTTTTCGTCGAAACCTTCAAATCGATTATATAGTATCGAATATCTCTTTCACAAATAAAGTGTCTATTTTGTTAGCTTCATCGTAGAGCAAGATTAAAAAGTCATCTGTGTATTGTGAATGGATATAAATAATAGAAATATCCGTTTCTTTTTCATCAAGGTGGTATCAATGATATCAACAAACAGGTTTTTCATCTCGTTGCTTCTTCTAAGGTAAAAAATATCTATTTATCACCAATTTGTTAATAGTAAGGACATCCTTTTTCATTGTAGTGTGACAGGTTCGATTCTTTTTCATTTCTGATATGCATTATAACTAGACACTTGCGTTAGTTTATGTCTCTTCTTTGCAAATGATGCTACCCATCTGTATATTCTACGAAAGGTCTTACAGCGCGATCGTAGCGGAGAGAGACGGGAGACAATACTTCACGAATATTTCGAAAACATTACTATTTTTGTATGTCTAGTTTCAATCTCAGCGCAATCATCATCGTTTTTCTCATATTATTCGAGTGCATTGACAAATAATAGTGAAATATACTCACGCGAAGAAGGTTTTGGAGTAAAATACTACTATCAAGCAATCAGAGTACGTGTCAATACAACGGGCACCTATACATTCAAAAGTTCAGGTAGAATTGAAGACACATATGGATGTTTGTATCAAGGAAATTTTTACCCAATGCATCCGGAGTACAATACGGTTGCGAAAGATGATGATAGTGGTGGAAATGGTCAATTTTTAATAACGGCTGTTCTCCGATCTGATCTGGAATACATCTTGATATTTTCAACATATCGTGATCGAGTGACAGGAACATTCGAAGTTTTGGCATCCGGTCCAGATAATGTTTTCAATCCCATAGGTGTACTACCGATAGACACAGTAACGACAACCAGTACGTCACATCATTGATGAGATTCGTGTTTGCAAAATTTTCGTTTTGACAGTTTGTCAGATAACTTCAGCTTGTTCATGAGCTAGTATGTTTCCTATCGTTCTGTTTAGGTAGTACTACATCCACTGTCACTACCACTACTTCTACCACCACTATCACGACAACAACGACCTGGAACAAAAATATGAGTAAATTTTATATTTGACAACGGGAAGATTTTGAATATTGAGTAACTTTGTTTAATGCCAGCTGGAATACTATGCGCTGATGATCCACGAGGTTTGGATTACCGTGGTACGGTATCAGTGACGGAGAATGGTCGAACATGTCAACGATGGGATGCACAAAGTCCTCACAGACATACAGTTTCTGGCGTTCTCTTGCCGTATGATGCTTCTCTTCGTGCTGCGGAAAACTACTGTCGGTAAGGGTGGATAAAAATAAATAACTACTAGATAAAACCGTTATAATCGTTTTAGAAATCCTCTGAGTAAAGATGCCATGAAAGATCGACCTTGGTGCTACACAAATGATCCAGCAGTTTCTTGGGAATATTGTTCTGTACCAAAGTGTTCTGCATGGTCATCATGTAAGTTGATATTCTTTTTACTGTATCTCATAAGCACTAGAATAATCTCCTATTCTCTTATATTTAGACCCAGAATGTCGTGTTTGCCCAGGCTCAGATTACGAAAATTCATGCATAGATTGCGTGACAAGCATCGATTGCTGGCGGGGTTGTCGTTGTTACACTATCGATTTCAGTGAATTAATACTAACTAGAATCCAGCTCATACCATCGCGTCCTTGCAAATTAGTCAATGCAAAAAGCCAGCTCCAATGCCAGGGCTATTGCTGATTTTACATCTCAAGGTTCATCACACGCTTTTTCAAATAAATTCATATATAGTTCCGTAGATGATATACTGATTTATACTTTTGAAAGTATACAGTGTTGCTCCATGATTAGTCAGCCGACTCATCAAGGGTTTTAAAATAAAAAAATCGCGAATTCAATCAGTGATCAGTCTTATATCAACTTGATCATATATTTCTTATTGATCAGGCATTATACCCTACTGATAGGATTTCGAAAATAAATGCGTATCACACTGGAAAGTTTTCAGACAATTTATACCCGCACCTTTGATACTTGTTATATGCATTCGGGAGAGTTTTATCAACGCTTGGAAGTTTCACACTGATTATTTGACTTCATGGGAATCGCATTCTGTCTTTATAGATATAAATATAAACTTTTGTGAAACACGATCCGAAGGAGAGTGTTGAAGTGGTTAAGGGCAAACATTTTAAGAACGACCGCCCACCCACCCCCCCGCCCGCCACCCCCCGCGCCCAGACTGAGGGGCGGGCGCGGAAGACNTTTTTAGTATAGGGGGCTTATAATTATGGTACAGCAAATTTTCGAGGATTCGCATTTTTTCCTCTAATTGTTAGGGAAGCGCAAATCAAAACTTAGCATGATAGATAGTACTTATATAGTCATACACCATCATACCATTAGTTGATCATGGTTTTCTAATTCGGAAGTAAAATAAAGATTTTTCAATGCATGTGTAAGGAGGGCTCATATTTTTGGTATACTCTGTAGTTTTATGTTTGCTTTCGGTTGGTTAGGTTTCTGCGGTTCGGATAGGTTCGTACCAGTTGTGGGGGGTTCTTGGTTTGGGGAAACTTGCGGATACATCGTGTGGTTCGGAAAGAGTAGGGATTTTTTGGGAAACATGCGGGAAATATTTTGGCATTTTCAATATTTTTGTTTCTGTAAGGTTATGTTAGGATGCTGCTGTTTTTTGTGGTGTTCTGTTTTGTCGGATTTAGGCGGTATTACTGTTTTCCGGGAAGATACTTTGGAAAGGCAGTTCCGGAGCATTCCGGTCTGGAACACTGCTTCAACATTCCTATGGCTTTCGGTCGGGAACTATCTGGATACGGTGAGAACGGCTCGGAACGAGCGGGAAAAGAGCTGCTTTCCTTTCGGTTCCGTTCGGATCCCGCGGCCGGATCGTTCGTCCTGGGGATAAGCAAAGATGTTGTACCGCGGTTTCAATCGTGAACAGAAAAAAACAGCCATTATCTGTGTTCAACAACTCTCTCAGTGAAAGATAGCAAACTTCTCCCTTTTGCTAAGAAGTCACAGGTAAAATGACGGATATATACCTAAATGCTTAGACCTAATAGTCTATAAATGGCACTGGTCTAATGCCTAAATTGAAACTTTTATCTTTTTATTCCAGAATTGTCCATATGGTCTCTTCTATTCTTAGAAATATTCTTCTCTTCTTATTTTGTGAAACACGATCCGAAGGAGAGTGTTGAAGTGTTTAAGGGCAAAAAATTTAATCACCCCCCCCCCCCACAGACCGTGACCGACAGGGTCAAAGGTCAAAGGGTACAACTTTCGAAAACGCGTCACAGACCGTCACCGACAGGCCCAAAATCCCAGTCACAGATCGTTAAGGAATTCATACTTGAACCAAAAGATTCAAAGGTCATTACGCATAAGCGGTTCACTACAGACAAGTGCGCTGTAATACTCTACCTTACATAGAGAGTAAAGGTCATAGAGTGCAAACTACTGCCAGTTAAGGTTCATAGGTTTAATACTCTATTTGCAGTAAAAACATCTACAGCGGACGTATTTGCTATTAAGCTAACTGATCCATTCTTTTTGTAAGACGGGACTCGCAGAAAGATATTAAAGAGTTTTGGAAGACGAAGGGATTTTCCGCCCGCTAATCCTTATCCCGTAGATCATTACGGAGTGTAACGGGACTTATTATGGCCGCCTGCCTTTTGGCACGCATGTAACCTATAACCTGTCTGTCCTGGAGTTGTTACTATACTTGACCATAATTCACTGTTTTGTGTAACGATGTGCACCTAAAAAATAACGAGTGAGAGCTTGTTAGGAGAAAATCCAAATAAACTGTGTCATTGTCTCACAGACAGGTTCGTTCTCAACTTCGTTACACTGACGCGCGTAAATCGCGTCACAGATCGTGATCGGCTAACGGAAGCGCAGTAAGAAGCATCACATATTTGTGACTGATGAAGCAAAAAAGTTCTTAAAAAGCAGCGGACATCGCTATTGGCAATCATATGCTATTTTCAACAGCATAAGTTGAAATAAATAGGAATGTAGACTGCGAAATAAATTGACCAGTATATGTGCTTAAAGTTTCTCCAGGTGGATCATGTTTCACATTTTGTAACCCCGTTAGGGATTGCGCTGAAAGCTTTTTCGTCAAATTAATTAATAAACATTTGATTAACACACAGCAGAAGCCGCATATTATAATTTTTCGAAATTTATCTTAATGGATATGAGTTAGGGAGAAAAGCCAATTGTGTAGCCCGTATAAATCATCTAATCCTTCCCAATATTGTGCATTTGCGATCAGAGAGAATTTCTAATATGTCGTAGAAACCGTATGAAAAAATTGCACCCTTCGAGGTTTTTAGTAGGGTTCTTACGAGGTATAAATTGATTCCCGAAAATTAGTTATGCATCTTAGGCAAACCGCTGAAAACTTTTAAAAATATGAGGTGATGAGTACTATCGAAATAATGAACCGCAGGGAGTCAGAATTCACTCTAGTCCCTTTAGGTAGGGTGAAAATAGGTAAATTCTTATAGTTTTCTTTGCAGGCTGTGTTATTACTTTCAACTGGTTTTTCGCTCATACCTGTTCTTTTTTCCAACTTAGCAAAAGCAGTATAGGCTTGTTGCTTTCATATAAAGCACATTTAACATCATTTTTGCATTGTACTATCATTTTGAGTTGCTTGAAACATGTCGAAAGATATTAATATACTACTGCTCGGACAGACAGGTGTCGGAAAAACAACATTCATCAATTCATTTGCTAATTATCTGGAGCATCACTCTTTAGAAGATGCAATTACAGGTGACTTTCAAGTCCTTATACCAGCTACGTTCGTTTATATGGATAGTTTAACGTTTGACGAAAGTGAGATTAATATTGGTATCCCACATGAAACGGAACAAACCAAGGCAGTTGGAGAATCGTGTACGAAAGAATGTCGAAGTTTCGTTTTTCGAATAAACAACAGAATCTTACGTCTGATTGATACACCGGGACTTGGTGATACGCAAGGTCTCCTGCACGATGAAAAGAATCTTGCAGATATCCTCGCTTGTATCAGTCAATACGAACATCTAAACGGTATTTGTATTTTATTAAAACCAAACGAAGATCGATTGCACATATTGTACCGGTATTGTCTAAAGGAAATACTTCGACATTTACACGTAGACGCAAAAGAGAATATTATGTTTGTCTTTACGAATGCACGAGCTACGAGTTATCAACCTGGCCGATCAGCCCCTGTTCTTCGTGAGCTTCTGAAAAGTATTCAAGGTGACGCTCAAGTGTCGATACCATTCTCAAAGGAAAATACCTTTTTACTTGATAACGAAGCATTCCGATTTCTTGCCATATATAAAAATGGCATCAAAGTTCGTTCAGAGGAAAAAGCAGACTACAGTAGAAGTTGGTCGTACACAATCAAAGAATTTCAACGTCTTATAGAACGCATAATGAAATGTGAAAAACATAGAACCACTAATACAATTTCGCTCAATGAAGCACAACAGTTAATTCGCAAATTGTCGAGACCGATTGGCGAAATATCAACTCTTATACAAAAAAACATTGAACTCATTGAAAGACATAAGAGAAATACTCCATCAAATAACAATGTGAAACAAGAAGTTTTTGAGCAATTCGACATCGAATTAATCGAACTGTCATATCCAAGAACTGTGTGCACAAATAGTAAATGTACAAAGGTCATCGTAGTCAATGGTTGCGAACAGATTGATTATGCGACTCATTGTCATACAAGGTGCTACCTTACCGGTGTCGAAGAAGATCTTATCGGAGATGAGAAACTAAAAAGTTGTGCTGCAATAAACAAGTCATCAGGTTAGTTTGTTTTAAACTAAGCGCAGGCAAAGTTGATAATTTAATATTTCATCAATAGGTAAATGCATCATCTGCAATTGTACTTGGAAAGAACATATGCACATCACTTATGAGCTACGTAAGTTTATAACTAAAGTGACTGTTAGCAGCAATGCGGTGATTGATGAACGTTTACAAAGTTTAAAAGCTGAAAAGGAAGCTATTTTGGATGCCTGTGGCAAACTAGCATACTTTATTCGAACAAATTCGATCAGTCCGGTCAATGACGATATTTTAGAATACATTCAGCACTTTATTCGAGAAGAAAAACAAAAACGAAACAACGGCGCTCAGAACGATGACATCATCAATGGACTAGAAGGACTTGAGAAAGAATATCGACACGAGCTCGATGCTATTAAACAGATGATGCAAGCAAATGCAACAAATTCAACTAGCCTCCTTTCAATAGGACAAGTGTTTGACCATGTCCGGGATCTTTATCATTTACCATTATATGGCAAACAGATTCGGACACAAATCGAACAAATGAAACGTATGCAAGAAAATGGTAGACGCAATAGAGAACAGTCTGTTCAATTATCAAACAAAGCTCAGTCATCACCAGTTATGATTGAGCTAAAGAAAGCGTTTGTCTAATAAACTCATTAAAGTGATTGTAAAATAAGTGTGATATATAATAAACTAGTTTTGGTGAAATTGCACGGGTGGTCGAATGCTTAAAGAAAATCAATAATTTAGAGTGCGGATGCAAATAGGGGCGAACTCACTGCAAGAACAGGAGTGCACGGTATGCGTGTGTATCAACGTCACTCATTCTTACCCACCCTCAAGACGTTGACATTAGTAACAGACGATTTTCCTGGTTTTCTCTCGAGTATTGCAGTCACTAAAAGGCATGACTATGTCAAATCATTAAAGAAATGATTTTGCGTGTATATCATATTTTTCCAACTAGGAAGAATGATGCATAGTTATTCATGCTTAACATTTGTCCTTAAATAGTTATTTCTCGGGTTTTATTACTCATTTTCAGAAAATGTTCATAATTAACGAAAAGTAAATATAAAATGAGGAAGTAATATAGTTTTATATATAAGGCTTCGTAAATATCACGAAAAAATATTATTTTGAATTATAGTTATCGTTCGAAGCTGTTTAGTTGATTATATCGAATATCGACAAAATCGTACAGTCTTCGTAGAAAAACGTACAGGTTCTTATTTATTTAAGACCAATGAAGGCATTCTGTATTATTATTGGCCTAGCTGGATTGGCCATTTCAGCTACTGTCATACTTGCATTAATTCCCGCTTATTTGCCAAACAACGCAGTGTCTGCTAACAATGAATACTGTACGATAATTTGATCAGATAGTTGCATTTGATTGTTCTGTTATTTTTTAGCTGATGAACAATATATAACATATAATTTACCGGATAGCATTCTATTAAGTAATGGATCTTTGGCCGATACACAGTTAAAGAACTTCGAAACAGCGGTTAGGGATACACGGGTCTCACTGTTGAACAAAGGTTTTTAATGGTTTGTGTTTGTTTAGATGCAAGAAAATCTTGCAAACGATGGCAAAACACGCGGTTCACTAATCTCTGTAAAGAATGGAACGGCTTTTACAACCAGTAGCAAGGTAACGAAGTTCGGCATGCTTCATTCACAGCGGATGGTTGTTTTGTTTTGTTTTTCTAGAGAAAACGACGTGCACAAGTTATTGGAGTAAGTAGCGAGGGCCAATCCACAATTTCAACGACACGACATTGCAAGCTAACCTACATCATCAAGTGGCCACGGAGAGATTTGTTAAAAGTTCGACGATTGAAGCTATTACAATATATCAAACAGACAGTTTTAACTAACCTTACACTGTCCGGTTTTGATATTGGTAAGTTACGATGAGTTGCCTTCATCCCGATCAAGTCAATAATATTGTCTTCTAATTTACAGATCGTTCCAGCACGTTATCAGGAGCAAATGTTAGCTTAGCATATCCTAACGATGAATATGCTTTCAATCAAGCTAACGTACCAATCACTCTACAACTATCGTCTGCAATTCTCGATGTGACGAACTACACTCTATTTTCAGGCAATAGTATAACTCCTATCGTCAATACGACTAGTACAAATGCGAGCATCACGATCAATAATGGTTTTCCACCAGGACATACTTTTCTCACCCTGATTGCGTTGGATATTTACGGTCTTCCATTATTCTATTCATTTTCACTTTACTTCGGTAGTATTTCAATGTCTGTCAAGGTTCTGTATGAAAATAAGACAGCTGCCAGCGATGCCTTCGTACAAATTAATGTAACAGATTTCACTCGTGTTAGTCAAAGTGCCAAAACAGACGCAAACGGCATTGCTCTGTTCAGCAACGTTCCACCTACGACGATTTCAGTCTTCGCCTACACATCTGACAATCAAATAGGTCTAGCGGGTATCCAGCCAAAATCCGGAGAACTGGTTGTCACGTTGATACCTTTTCATGGCAGCAGTAAGAGACGACGACGATCAACAGATGAAGGTACACCCTTCGACGTATATACCAATAATGTGCAAGCTTTGCAGACTAAATCGGCTACTTTCTTGAGTCTACCGGATGCTGCAAAAATCTATGTTAAGTATCAATTCATCACAGCAGAAGTACCAGGCGGATATTTTGGAACACAGTACAATGACTATTTCAGTATAACCATCCGTTCTAATACAGGTACCTATCGAACTGTAACGCAGAGCATGAACAGTCTTGGTTTGGGCGCTTTTGATTATGCATCGGGTGCAACGGATATCTATAAACTTACGATGCCAGTCGGACATAAACCTGAGTCGATTCAAATCGATATTGCCGTGTCGAATGTGGCTGACGGCTTATATCAATCACGACTAAAAGTACATAGTTACGGATCAGATGAATGTGACAAATGCGAAAACAATTGTGTCAAATGCAAATCTGATCCGATGTGTTCGTCATCTTGTGCCAATCCACCGATGAAAAGCTGTGACTTCTATCTTAGTTGCATGGAACGAAAAGCGCCGTGCGGATTAGGTGGCTACGCAAACAATTATGGAAATGTTTACTGTAACAAATTTGTTCAAAACCTGGGCCGCTTTAGTGCCGAAGGGCAATTATGGATATACAATACGATGAACTGTTTACAGAAAGCGTTAGTTTTCCCCTTACGGAATTGTGTTAAGAGCTGCAGTATTCTCGAAAGCTTGGCTTTTTCGTCGCATCCTAGCTGCTACGTGAACAACGGTGTTTGTGAACTGCCGGCACTTGATTATATTAGTCTTTTCCCAGTTGTTGGTCCAGGTCTTTTAAGTAAGGCTGGTATTATTCAAGCATTGCTCACAGCTCCTCAGTGTATTCCAAGTATACGTATTCGTATCACTGCTGCGCTTCTTACCGTTCCAGATTCCAAGACAAGACTAGCGCTGCTTATTCTTCGAAAATGGTTACTGTCTCTATCAAATTGACAGTACGGTCAATAATGACAAAGCTATTCACTGGTAATATTATGTTATTCATTTTAAAAATAAATCTAGATCATTACTTGAACTAAATGCTCTATTCCAAGTGTCTATTGCGACTTTGAATATTGATCACTGATATTACTATCACACAAAATAAAGATACAGGAATGCTGAAATGTCACAGAGTAAATAATGATGATATGTACGAGATACGTCATCATATGTTAACAGAACAGGTAACCGGCTGTTAAACATATGTGACGTATATGAAGAACGAAAAACAAGAGGATAAAATCTGCTGTCCTCGAACCATTGCAAAACTATTCTCATGCCGTTCTTTTCGATGTAAGATCCATAAATCAATCATCTTCGACGAAATTACAATGTTTTCATTTATTCGGAATGATCAGATAAATCCTACTCATCTGTTAAAACCTAGAGATTTCTACGAAACATACCTTTGCTCTCATTTCAAGACTGTATAAGCACATCATTTGCAGCTTAATCTTTCTATTTTTCTTCGAAGTAATGAAACTAATTTCGTATTTACGTATGACTTACTGAAACAAGTATAAAAAGGCCTGCTATCGTTGCAAATCTCATACAACAACATTCGCACATATTCGTATTCAACAAGTACTGATCAACTTGCTCAAAGCCGCTTAACTAAGCAATCTATTGTCGTTTTACAACATTACAATGCAAGTGAAAACATTCGTATTTTTGGTTGTCATGATGATAGCAGTATTATGCATCCAAGCAATCCAAGGTCGCTGTCGTAAAAGGGGTGAAAGCTGTCTTGTACATGGCGAGTGCTGTTCGGCGATGTGCGGCGGAGATTATTTATGCTGGGAGAAAGTTCATTGAAGGATGGTTATGTACATACATACACACAGAAGATCACAGAAATATTTCGGAATTGGTTCATGTATTTCCTACAGTTTATATTAGAGTGTGTATGTATTAAAATGAAAAATAAAAGAAGAATGATATAGAATGATGCTTCATCTATATTTTGACTGATCAACATTGTTAAGAAAAATCAGCTATGCCACCAATTGGTTAAACTCTTCCATGTCTCACAGTGTTCTTGAACCAGCTTCGTAATGTTTGTCGAAACAGAATACCGCCAGCGAAAAGATATACGTAGAACGATAGAGAATTATCCATTCTTGATGTCATAGAAGTTATCTCATCCGATAGGGCCTCTATACTCTTGCGTAGTGCACTTCTCGGAATGTCGTAGGTAACCAATGCATATATTCGTTGGATACCAAGCGGTATCCACGACACTGTAAGCATAACAATTACACAGGTCACCAACTATCTCAAAATACAATAAATCATATGTCATTAGAAGAGCCTTAGTCAACGGTTCCTGTTCAACCATTGTTAAATATTCTTACCTTGATCAGTTCTCTGTCAATTTTTCGAACGCGATATTGAGCAGATCGAGTGGATGCTATTGTCACTGTTGCTTGCTTGAGGGATCTTAAATTCCGAGTCATATTAATGCTCACAACCATAATCACCATTTGTGGAATACATAAAACCGTGACAAGTCGAGCTATCTGATTATAGAAACCGCACTGTCGGGTTGTTGATGCTGAACAAGATGTGATGACACCGTTATCAATCACATCAGCACAATAAAATAAATTACCAAAGACGAGTGTGACTAGGATTGAAGATGCACTAATTAAACGATATGCATTTCGCAATGAACTCATTTGGCGACGTTTAGCCAAAGGACTTGTTATGAGAAATCGATCTACTGCTGCTAAAGTCACCATCCAAACTGATAAAATTGATAAGCTATAATAAGTAAAATGCCGTATCTTGCAAATCATTCCAATTTTCGCTGAATAATCCAAATCATAAGTCGTTAGCATTCGAGGTAAATTTATTCCTAACGTCAAAATCAGATCAATACACGAGCTCGTACATAAGTAGAGTGTGCATGGGCTAGCACGAAGTTTCTTTTGACGAAAGATCAATACATTCAGTATATTGCCTGTCGTACCAAGTATGACAAGAACAAAAATACCGTATCGAGAAATCGCTAGTGTGATTGAATTGAGAAGTGTGATGAGCGTATTATCGGTCGACGATGTGGCCGGCATCTTATGAACTTTCAGTTGTAAACTAACAATGACTGACACTGGAAATATTGTATATATCAAAAAGCCACCAGAAAACGTTTCCTTCACGCAGAAGTCGTGAGAATGAAATTGCTAAAGCAAGAATTAGAATGAATTTAATTTTTTTTTGTCGTTTCCGATGAAAATCCGAACATTTTGACGTCCGGAGTTTGATTCTTCCTGTAAAAAAGGTATGATATTTATTTCTAATGAAGGCAGGATGGACTTGAAAAAAGAAAAAACCTTTTCCCACACCGAACTACCCAGCAGGCTCTAGTTAACTATGAAATCATGTTCAGCATCCGAATGGAAGAACATTCCTACACAAAAGACTGCCTCGTTCCAAAAACGATAAGCTGAGGTGTATGTATCACGAGATCGTTAGTATATATTAATAAATAATTTCCGCATACGCTTCTGTTCTATTAAACTAATACTTCCGTTCTAATTCTCCTGCTGTTTTCTGCCATACTAGAAAGATTCTTACTAGGTCACTGTTTACAAAAAGTTATGTGTATGCTGCACATCTGGATTGCTCATCGGAAAAAGAATTGAAAGTAGTGACTTTGTTGATCGATAATAAAACTGATTATGTGTGAAAACAGAAGTATTTTATTGCATACTATTTAATACAAAAAGCAACACTTCCCTGCAATGTTCCAAATATATTCGGAAAGAGAAGAATATTTTTCACGTCAATAATGAATGTCAAACGAAATATTATAGGGAAAATGTTTTGATAAGGGTTTCTTTGTTTATTACAAATGTGATTTCTTATCGATTGAATTTTACTCGTTTGGTCTCTATTCCGAAATTTGGAAACTTTTTCTTCTAACAAGAATAAGGTCGCTATTTAACCCACTCTTTTTGTATTATCAGTTTTCTTTGGAAAAAACCAGTGTTATTTACATTTCACGAGTGAAAGATGAACTTCGATCAACAGTCATTTATTTTAAAAACAGTTTCTTCGGGAATGCCTCGATCAGTTATCAGCTCTACATTCAGCCATAAGAAAGATGACAATCGCAGCACTTGTCGCATGCATTTTGGCAAGCTTGACAAATAGCACCCAAGCAACATAGAATACCGACAAGGAGAATCACACTGCCGGCGATCAGAGCATTGCGAGCATCAATATTGCTCTCGTTGTTAGTGTAATAAACAGAACCGACAGACATGATGATAAATCCGATGACGATAATAACGATCGCAATGACGAACATCCACCAATTCTCGGAACAGGAACCGCCGCCCCGAAGTGGAGGAGCTGTTCTTGGCTTCAGTTCAGATGCATTGTTTGTTTGAACAGCTTTTATTGATTCTAAAACATATAAGCAAAAGTTATTTGAGTTTACATTCGTTATCGATCAATTCCAGCACAGAATTAGTATGGTTATGCTGTAGCAACAAGAGAAGAATATTCGATATTAGTTAAACTCTACCTTGTATTTCAACTCTGACATTCATGTCTAAAAAAATAGAAAGACAACAGACAAGATATGACTATGAATGAAAAATATAAAGACGTGATTATAGGCGTCAGGACGGATGCCTGCTCTGCACTCAAACTGATTCGAGAACGAATTTTGTTTGATTTCATCAGTTACCAGCTTTCAGTAAACAATGAAAAGATTGCGTACTTATAATCCTGTTCTCTTTCTCTTGTACTTTCAAAATATTGTGCAGCTCGGTAGTAGAAAAAAGATTTCCAATTTTCATTGAAAAAGAAATAATTGCACGTGAGTCATACGCAGAAAACGTTGGTAAATGCTGACTTGAAATATCTGTGAAGAAAAGACGCCTTCAATGACTTTCACCTACACACATGTTGCTCTGATCTCACTGCCGTTTGTAAAATTAGTAGTTATTTCGTATACGTTGTGTTCATCATTCTTATATGAGATTTATTTTTGTTTCTTAAACTCTTGATTAACAATTAACTCTGTAAAAAGGGGATGAATTAGTGTGAATAGTCTTTAAATATCCGTCTCCATTTGTTCGCCATCAGCAGGGAGAGAGGCGCCAGATGATGGCGACTTCAAAATGCCAATTGTCGTGTCAAAATAGAGTTTTATACCCAATGCATCTGTTGTTTCATTGATTTCTTTTTGAAACTTGGTTAATAGATCTTTATTTCTATCAATAAGGTCAACGTGTGCATTGATTTCACGTATCTGTTGAACATCACTCTTCAACTGTTCGAGTAACATATCCAATTCATTGCGTAAATCTTCTTGTTCTTTCCCAACAGTTTCAAGTTCATTGCTCAAAGTTTGTACTTGTTCATCAGCATCTTTATGATGCGAAATGGCAACATTGTCAGGTAAAGTCAGCTGTACCTTGACTTCGTTTGCTTTGTAAATGTGCTGCACATCGCGATTCTGTTTGGTAGCAAGCTTTGGCGGGTTCGACGCTGATTCTGGTGTATTGTTTGGACATGTTATACAATTACATTCAGCCTCAGATTTGTTGTTCAATGCAGTAGGTGAGTCAGAACATTGCTTATGAGATTTCTTGATTTTATTGAGGAGCTTTCCTGTAAATGAAGCTATCGAATGTAGGACATTTTCAGCTGTCAATTTTTCTGTTGCTGAGGATATCTCTTCGAGTTCAGGATCTCTTGGTACCTCCATCCACTTGATGGCAGTAATTTCATGTTGTATATCCCATTGTTTATTGTCATCCATCGTTTTCTTCGCATTGTTAATACTAGTTTCAATATTGGCTTGATGTTTATATGTGCCAATCAAAGAAATCATACGTGTAATCAATTCTTGAATGTGTTTCTCAATGAGTGGTTGTTGAATACTAATCTTACTAAACGCTTCGGTTGACACGTTCTCGAATTTGGTCAGCAATACTTCAACTAGATCATTAATTTCATCGATTGTATCTTCGAAATTTCCACGAAAGCGTTGAAACGTTTTGCCTGAATTGGATTTTCTGTCCCATGCAAACAGATTATTTTGAATATGAAAGATTCTTTCGCTGTTGACCTTGAACAGTTGTTGTAAAATGGTAAAATCCAAGTTGCAACTGATCTCGTCACAGTTAGTTAATACAACACAAACATTATCCGTAAGACTATTTGGCCAAATTTCACGTAAAAGGGAAAGAAAGTACTGAAACGAAGTACCTATACGCACCACGGAACCATTAGCAACAATAATAATACCATTTAGATAGTCCACAGAACGTAATGCTTTTTCAATCTGTTCCAAATTTGTTACATCGTTTGAAACGCCTGTGGTATCATTGAAACCAGGTGTATCAATCAACTCTAACACAAGATTTTCGTTAACTTTGAGTGAGTAAGAAGTAGTTCTTGTTGTTTGACTCTTGGTTTGATCGTTAACATCACGTTCAGATGATTGACTTGTCTCAGAAACTAAATCATCCCAACCCTTGCACGGAATAGCCAATTTAATACCAGATTTTGTTTTTAAATTGAAGACTTCGTCAACATTCCGTGTTCCGAAATAGTAGTTGTACATCGCATTGATAAACGCCGATTTACCAGCACCCGTTTCACCAATCACAACAAAACGTTTTATTTGCGTCATTATGCAAATTTAGCTTGAAAGTATTGAATGAATGAATGAATGATATGATTGCACGTACGTTCTTTTATATACCCAAGTTTCGATCGTCTCTATACTTGGAATCGCCCATCTCTGAAAATTGACTTTGAGCTGGTTTTTTCCCATTTCAATTTGCGACATCCGGCGCAGAATGAGATGATGGAACCATTAAAAATAAGAAAAGAACACATGTTGCCATGGATTTTTCTTGCGGTTGCCAATTAATGACATACTTACCACACTGGGATATTTTCCAACTGTTAAAGACTATTTAAGGATGATCATCGAACAGCGTTCCCTCACTTTCTTTTATATACGTACATTTTCAATTATTATTCTACGATGTCGAATAACCCCGATATTATTCTCGTTTTTATTGGCGAATCTGGAGCTGGGAAATCGACATGTATAAATTACTTCGCAAACTTCTTCGCTCAAACAGGTTTCTCGGAAGACACCGGCTATTCAAAAATTCAAGTTGTTATTCCAAACCGACTCTTCCCTAGTGCTGCAAATGGATTTAGTAGTGGTGAACGTAACGTTCTCGACAAGACAATGAGTCAAACCATGTTTTGTAAAGAGTACGATTTCACTTGGTCAACAGCTAATAACCAAATGAGAATCAAAATCGTCGATACTCCTGGATTCAATGATACAGATTCTAAACGTGATGATAGTAATATCCAAGAAATTCTCAAGACTATTGCCAAGCTTCCATTTATCACCGGTATTCTTATCACAATAAATGGCACGAACTCTCGACTGTCGACATCGGTGAAGAGTGCATTGGAGCAACTACGCAGTTCGCTACCGGATAGTATCTTCAATAATCTATTCTTTATTTTAACCAATTGCACGGAAGATGGATCCAATTTTGACTTGAAATTAGTCCAAGAATATTCACCCGATGAAGAACGTATCTTCTACATGCAAAATTCCTTGTTCAGTGTGGAAAGCCGTGCTGTGATTGAGCAAAATGCGAAGAATGCTCGTCGCGCTGAGATAAATTGGAATGAGTCCATGGATACAATTAAAGACATCATGACAAAAATGAAACAGATTGGTGAAACATCAACACAAGTGTTTGGCGACATGCGTACCAAACGAGAACAGATCGTTGCTCACAAAGAAAATCTCATTGAGAAACAAAAGTCATTATTAAACATCATGCGCGCAATAAAAACCGAACAGGAGCGTTTACTCAATGCTCAAAATGATCGAGAAGCCAATCAGAATTACATGACAACTAAAATGATTGAACAGATTGAACTCGTGACTAGAGAATATTACAGCACCATCTGCACAGAACATGGAAAAGTAAACGTATGTCATGAAAGATGTGGTCTCACGTACAAGTCCGAGGTCAATTTTGAGCATTTTAAAAACTGTGCTGCAGCGGATTCAACTGGCAAGAATTGTAGACATTGTAAATGTGGCATGAACCAACATTTACATACGTATGAAATTCCCGTGGCAAAAATGGTTGAACTCGACGAAATTATTCAATCAAAAAAAGCCGCTTTTGATTCAGCTTCGAGAGACGAACAGACTATTCAAGGTCAATTGCATCAATTAGCTAAAACTCACACACAAGTCCAAAATGAGACTAACCAATGTAAACAAGGAATTCTAGATGCGATTCGCGAGCTGAAGCAAATATGTTCGCGTTTTAATTTCGCGGAAATGATGCAGACTACTATTGACAAATTGCGACAAGAACAAAGAATTGCGCGGGATCTAGAAGCCAAACAGGAATTTAGTAATACGGCGGATGCTATCGAACAACTTATCCAACAATTGAAATAAGACATTTGGGTCGTCTCTTTTTTTTTTCTTTGTTGTTCTTTCTATTGATTTTGGCCATATGAATAAACAAGAGTTAAAATAAACGCATTGACTTATATAAAACTTGAGAAAAGATTAGTCGAATATCCTTTGGAACTTCTTTACAGTCACATTTCTGGTATTGTGAATCAATCAGCAGCTCGGAAGCAATACCATTGTCTTTAATAGAAAAAATCTTTTGCTTTCTATTTGGGAACTTATATTTGATCATATAAAATGATTGTATAGATCTTCATGTGCTCCAGATCAAGTCTATCAATGACTATCATTATGTATGATTGTGGAACAGCAATTCAATTTTATTTTTTAGAAAAAATATCAATTTGTGTTCATTCCAGCGTGTTTATTGCACTTTGTCCCAACCGAAGCACCAAGTAGTTGATCTGATGCTGGCAAACTCATTGTCACATTTGTCACTGACGACGAAATCATGCATCCTTGACCATATCCAATTCTATCGACTATCACGCTGACACTGCTATTCATTCGAAATGGATGAGACGCAGTAATTGTGAAGTCGCTGTCAGTTTCACTAAACAAATAGGCACCAGCATTGTTCAATTGGATATTGATTTCAAAAAGGCGGCTTTTGCATGAAAATGTTGTTGTTACATTATCCCATAGCACAAATGATGCACGTTTCAGCGAAGACCAAACAGTTCCATGGAATAGGCTGTTTGTCGATATACATGAAAATACTTGTTGGTCTTCATATTGTTTAATCACTGTTGGCATCATTGCAAGTGAAATATTCGGCAAAATCATATAACGATAATCAAGTGTGTATGGTCCTCGGCCATGGTCTATCCATATGGTTAGAGTTCGAGCTGTGACAACATAATCATAGGCACCAATTGTGATAAAGTTTCCAGTTTTCACGCCTATGTCGATTCCAACAGATGAATATTGATATTGACTTGGTACAACATAACCAACATCTGTTTCTCCCACATGAATCCAGTGAACATTTGATGTTTTGTTTGGTGTGTATGGAAAAGAATAGTTTCCATCGGATAGAGTAACAACTGTTGAGTTAAGAAAGGTAACTGTGATCTGTCCACTTTTCAGCAATCGACTAGCGAGAGTTGTCCATGCCACATTTGCTGTGGTTAATGTTAAATTGGTTGCAAGTGCAATAACTGCATCATCATAGAAGTGCCATGATCTTTTGGCAGTTAAGTTGTGCGTCGCTGTGTCCATCATAGCAAAACCATAGAGACCATCACTGACACCGCCAACAAAAGGTAATGTGATAAGAGAGGATGGTACATCATTGCATATGATGAGTGGAATATCATGTTCAACAGTGATGCCGTTGATGGCTTGCCAATCAAGTAGTGGAAATATGAACACATAGTCGTATGTGTTCGTTGTAAACAGATTTAAAATGCCTTGACCGGTATGTTCTCGTTTCAAGTTTTCTCCATTTCCACATTCATCGGGATTCGTTCGAATCGACTGCATTTTGATTGCACTGGACCAATTTGCGCGACGATGAACGTGGTAATCTGATGTATAAAAATGTTTATTGCCAACCAGTGCCGTAGCATTGGCCTGATGATCTAAGCGATCAGCAAGATTATTCAAATCAGTTCGTAGGTCCATTGATGGAATCGCTTCTGCCAAAACTCGGATGTCTTCAGGCTTATAGAACACAAGATATCCTCTATCTGGTCTCGCAATAGCTCTTCCTCTAACGTGCCAATCCCATTGATTATCAATGATCATCCATGCGTTGCCTTTGACTAAAAATTGAGCAAACAACGTGAGCTTATCGAGACTTGGGGCATATTGCGTGTTGACACTACATATGAAAAATGAAAAAACATTCACAGCCCAATCTTGACCGTAAGCTGCTGAGAGTAGCTGTGTTCCATGAAAATGGTAAGCATAATCATTTTGAACACCATCTTTACCTAGCGGTTGAATCATGATATCTTGCCACATTCGAGTGAAACCTTGTTCAATTCCTGTTATATTTCGAGTTGCTAATGACCGGTATAGTTGAGCTTGAATCATCCATACTAAATTACAACCAGTCGTCCACATATCACCATTCCACCAATTTGCACGAAACGAAATCTCTTTGATTTTCTGCAATTCAAATTGAGTAACGTCATCACCTAGCATTAATAAATGACTGGTGACCGAAATGGGTACCGAAATTCGATTCCACCACCAATTCGAATTTTGCCAGTCCCGAACTAACCAAGTATCGAGAGCACAATGTGCTGCTGAGAGTAACTTCGTATTATTTCGTTCGGTTGTACCATTTGCAGTTAGGGCTTGTAATATAGTCGTAACTCTTGACAGATGGACGGCGGTTAACCAATTAGCGCGACCAGCATCTGCATAGTCAATATCTGGCCAATAGCAAGAACTATTCAATGTTTGAGCAAATGATAATGCCTCTAGAATAATCGAGGGAAGCGTATTCGGCAGTGGCCAGATCATCTTCTCTAATACACGCTGGCGAATTACTGTGATGTCATCATTTGATGAAAATGCCGCCGATTGTCGAATTGCTAATAGGAACAAGAGGCAGCAAATCATGGAGTTACCCACGTTTGTCGAAGCTCTAATAAGCATTCTTGATAAAGTACTGAGTGAAGACAGTATCGCAGGTGCGCGTTTTTAAATTCTTATCAGTGGAAGATAATACCTAAAATAGAAGAGTTTTTCACACCATTTACCTTCTCAAGAGACTTTTATTTTAATTTGAATAGATAAAAACAAAATATAGTTGGTACACAAACATAGAACGAAAGAAAAATATGAATACCATTCGGGGACAAGGCAAAGTTTACGTCTATATGCGGTACGCATTCAATGTCAATCTGTTTCTTGTGCTTCTAGATCATCCCAAAGCTTTTTTATGTTCTCAATAGCAACGATTTGTTCTTTTTTAGAAAAATTGAATAAATCCCAATTTTGATTACAACTATTATCTTGGCAAGCAAATGGCATTCGATTTAACTCTTCGTGTTTATCATTCTCATTGAGCCAATCGATTGATGTTTGAGCCAGTCCTTGTAACATCGCACGAACAACATTTTTTTCTGCTTCACTCCAATTTCCATCTTGACTACTTGTTGTTCCACCTAACGAACACTGCTGGTATAGTCTCATCATGGTTGAGAGAAGCAGCGGCATATAGCATCGCAAGGTATATACCGCTAAACAATTGAGATGTCTTGGACCGGGAACGAGTTCTGACCGACTATCTCGAAATATTTTATTGAAATGACTGAATATATAATAATCGCCATTTAAAGCCAATGCTGTTCGTAAAGGAATGCTTGTCTTAATATAAACAGCGTGATAAGTTGTACAGAATTCATCACAACAGGTTTGAATATAATTATTTAACAAACGTGTGGTTAAATCTAACGATTGATCTTGATGCTTTGAAAGAAAGAATGCCTGCAATGTTTCATGAGGTGTACATTTTAGCTTGTCGGCTACAAATCGCAAAGAGCCCATGAAAGCTCCAACTGCAGCTTGTTTGACATAAGCTAGATACGCTTCATTTTTAGTAACGGCAGTCATTTGAAAGAAGAAAATATTGAAAATTATGACAGTACTGTTTATTATTTATAGAGGGCATCATTGCCACACGATTGTGAAATTACAAGCATCCATTGGCAAAAGAGATCTCAACGAGTTCTTCCTTAGTAGAAATTCTCTTCGTATTTTTTATCTGAACGACATTCGATCTGTCACGCAATGCACATGATGTGTTTGATGCAGCTTTTCGTCTGACATAAATAGCTATTAAATCCTGATTATGATTGTATCATTGAAAACTTTATATTATTTCTGAAGTGATACCGCTCGACAAGTAGATCGGTTCTCGAAAATTTGTCCTACGAGAACAGAAACGCATTAAACTTAGAGGACAAAACGAATGTGTCAATTAGTACATTGTAAACGATAGAAAACCTACGTCATCGTTGATCATCGACGTGTATAAAGAGTGCACTTCGCTTATCAAGGTATGTGCACTGAAAGAAACATGTATGAAGCCATATGAACAAATTCATTCGAGAAATCTTCTGGCGACAGTACTCTCGATTGAAAATAAAGACCATTTAATCTAGTATGAACCATGATGAGCGCAAATTTTAGACCTTGTACATAGTGCACGATCAGGGAAAACTTGTTCAGATCGTTTCGATATTTTGTACTGAAATGACCTTCACAGACTACGACGTTCTATTTAATTATATAAACGAGGAAAGGTATTTATAGTAACCAGACAGCTGCACACCGTATAAAATGAGCCTTCGTTTTGACAGATTTTCAAATACTTGTTATTGATTTTTCTGTGCAATCTATTTGCAGAACAACGAACATCTCGTACAAATCCCTGTGAATGTGTAAACGTAAGTAGACTTTGGTCGTTGACAATAATATCAGTGTTTCAGACTTTAGATAATAAAAAAGTAATCGAAAAATGGAAGGCAAGCTCATCGGTAAAAGTACGATCATCGAAATTCCAGAGAATCCATTGAGAACTATAACAGTCGAAGAATTGTACGATGACGGCAAATTTGATTTTTCTAAGATGGAAGAGAAAGATTTGTTTCTTCTACTAGAGTACGATATCAAATATGTTTTTTTCTGCTTTGAGACACTTCTTTGTTTTGAATTTAAGGTCATCGCGAGATGGTTTAACAGATGATCAAGTTAACGAACGACTCGAAAAGGTAAAAATATGTTATATTTAGTTCGATTCTGTAATGAGAAATTGCAGTTTGGACCAAACAAAATAGAAGAAAAGAAAAGAAATCCGATATTAAAATTTCTCTCATTCATGTGGAATCCATTGTCTTGGGTAATGGAAATAGCAGCCATTGTTGCCATTGCTCTAACAAATGGTGGAGGAGAACCACCGAATTGGCAAGATTTTATTGGCATCGTTCTACTTCTAATCGTAAATTCCGCAATTAGCTTCATCGAAGAACGAAATGCTGGAAATGCTGTTCAAGCATTGCAAGAATCCATAGCACCAGAAGCGAAAGCGAAACGTGATGGCGAATGGAAAGTTATTGAAGCATCGATGCTTGTTCCCGGAGATATAATAAGCCTTAAATTAGGTGATGTTGTACCTGCTGATGCACGAGTTATCGGTAAGAAGACAAGTTCTTTACGATGAGGTTAACGATATTGAACAATTTTCAAACGTTTAGCTGTACATGGACAACTTCTGATGAATCAAGCAGCATTGACGGGTGAATCACTTCCGGTTAAGAAAGAGATTGGTGATGAGCTGCTGTCTGGCGCTATTTGTAAACAGGGAGAAGCTGAGGCTATTGGTTTGTTTGATTCCTAACTTTTGGTTCTGAAACGTATTTTGTCTAATCATCTAGTGATGGGTACTGGAAAATATTCCTTTATGGGAAAAACCATTGGCTTGGTTGGGAAACACGATGACACCGCACATTTGCAAATAGTTATGGGTCGTATTGGGATGTTTTGCATATGTTGTATCGTAATATTCTTGATTGCTCAGATTGTAGTTATGTAGTATGTATTTACAAATGATGAATGTTTAGGTTAGCGTATACTTGCATTGTTTTAGTGGTGTGTTTCGCTATGAATATCGACGCGGAATGAACAATTTGATTGTTACTTTAATTGGTGGTATTCCAACAGCAATGCCCACAGTACTGTCTGTGACGTTAGCGCTCGGTGCTAGACAACTATCCAAACAAAAGGCAATTGTAACACATGTGTCAGCAATAGAAGAACTCGCTGCTGTCACCATCTTATGTTCGGACAAAACGGGAACATTGACACTGAATAAACTTGTCATCGATAGACAAACTTTGAAACAATACTCGGATGTGGGATTGGATGACATTATTCGATATGCAGCTATTGCATCACGAACTCATCATCAAGATGCAATGTAACTCTTCCAGAAAATAAACAGGAGAATAATAATTTGACATTGGTTTCTTTTAGTGACGCTTGTATAACGGAAGCAGCTGGTGATATTCAAAGCATACGTAAAGGCATTGAAGAATTACATTTTAAGCCGTAAGTTGCAATGTACTCGTGTACTTCTCGGCACAAGTTGTTTTCTGTTAAGATTCAATCCTACGGATAAACGTACGGAGATCACGTACAGAACTATCAACGATGGCAAGGTGCATCGCATTTCGAAAGGAATGTCACGTGTCATATTAGAACTGTGTACGCGCGATAAAACGGACGAATTGATAGAACAATTGCAGAAGGATGTAGATGAATTTGCCAGTCGAGGTCTCCGATCATTAGCTGTTGCTATTGAAGATGTTACAAGTGGAGAGGTTGGTGGAAAAGGAAACGGTTTTAAGTTAATCGGCCTCTTACCGATCTACGATCCACCACGCGAAGACACAAAGGAAACGATTGATCGTGCAATTGAACTAGGTACAGATATCTCTTTCTCTTCAACAAGTGAAACTGTTTGTCTCATTACAATCAAGGTATCAAAGTTAAAATGGTAACTGGCGATCAGCTAGCTATTGCCAAGGAAACTGGCCGACGTCTTGGAATTGGTGACAATATGTTTCTGTCGAAAGTTCTCAAAGATGGGCCACCGGAAGGTTCAGCTTATCTAGATATTGATGATTTAGTTTTGCATGCTGACGGCTTTTCTGGTGTTTATCCTGAACACAAATACGAGATTGTCGAACGACTACAAAATATGGGTCATATGATTGCTATGACCGGTGATGGTGTAAATGATGCACCTGCACTGAAAAAAGCCAATGTCGGAATCGCTGTTGCCGATGCATCCGATGCAGCACGTTCAGCAGCTGATATCGTTTTAACAGAACCTGGCTTATCAATTGTGATTGACGGTAAACAGAGCATTTTCTTCCTATAAGAAAGTAACACTTGTCTCTTCCATTTAAATCTACAGCTGTTCTCGGTGCGCGCAAGATCTTTCAATCCATGAGAAACTATTCTGTATATACATGTTCCATGACTATTCGTTTATTAGTTGGTTATTCAATACTTCTTTTTGCTTTTCAATATGATTTTCCATCATTTATGGTAGATAAAAGCTTTTCAAAATTCTTCCTATATTCTTTTCACCAAAACATCTCGCTGTTCGTTAGTTACTCATCCTGACCCTTCTCAATAACGGCACAATGATGACGATTTCAAAAGATCGTGTCGAGCCATCTCCATATCCAACAAAGTGGCTACTATCAGACGTTTTCATCCACGCAATTGTATACGGAATATACTCAGCACTCTCCACAGTGGCACTCTTCCTCATCATTATTAAAACGAGTTTTTTTCAAGAAAGATTCGATGTAAATGAAATACACTATCGTCCATTGGATAGTCCCACTGCTCCTGGCTGGAATGATCCAGTATTAAATTCAATTATCTATTTGCAAGCTTCAATAATGAGTCATGGACTGATATTCATCACCCGCTCTCGAACATTTTTCTTTCTTGATCGACCATCGTTTATGTTAGTTATTTCTTTTGTATTAGCACAACTTATCGCGACGCTGATTGCTGTCTATGCCAATTGGGGATTTGCTAATGTGGCCGCTTGTGGTTGGACATGGGCTGGAATTGTCTGGATATGGAATCTCATTTGGTTCTTTCCGTTCGATTTAATAAAAGTACCGAATTGAAAAAAAACACATGATAAAATGTTATGAAATTTATCTTTTAGTTTGCTCTGGCGGCATACTTTGAGCCGAAGAAAAAATTAGCTATCGAAGAAACTTTACAGATCGAACCGTCGACTCCAGAACAACGTTCACGTCGTGAAATTATGACATCTGCGCAGAAGGGATCCACCCCCTCAATTGAACGCCGTCTGTCTACAATGAGTGAAAAAGGAAACAGTTCATTTGAAGAAACAATCGTCAGAGCAGCAGGAAGATATTTTGCTCCGCATACACGTGATCTAACCGTGTCACCATATCACCATCATCATCATCTCGCTCGAATGCTTGCTGGTAACAATGATAACCTCTACCGAATCTCCGCCGATTCTGAAAATCTTCGAAAATTTTCATTAGTACAAGCTCATCATGCTGCCAGGATACTCAAAGCGCAAGAAGAAAGATTAGAAAGTGAAACAACTCCCGTGTAATTTTACTTGAAGACATTTGTTTCTCTTATCGTATTTATCAAAACATCGATTTCGTATTCATAGTTAAGAAACACTTATAACAACACAAATATTTCCTTTTTTCTCTCTTGTTATTGAATGAATAGAGGCAATAAAGTCAAGAATTCGAACTAGATGATATCTATCGTATCAGTAGGTTTACAATCGTTATATATCTGTAAGAAAGCAGTAAAAAATCATGATGGTAACGAGTATGACTTTGAAATTGTATTTCTTCTTTTCACATATGAGTACATACATATCGAATGAAATTGTCATTGCAGTTATCTTCATTCGTTTGCGTCTCCACGGTTTGATTCCGAACAATTTTTCATTTTTGATTTCCTCTTGATACAATTAACCTCTGTGTATACTTTCAAACGAACGTAATAAAGTAATAAATAGCTCTATTCGAAACAAAATTTCTTTCGTTTTTCTCTCGTATAAATAATCTACATTTCTGTCAAACATGCACCTTAGGGATTTAACATCAATTCGACTGTAAGATACAATTGTCAATGTTCATTCGTCAACTTTTCTTCCTATTCATTCTGATGGGTGGTGCATTTAGTCGAACAATCCCTCATGGGTTCGATATTCTATCACTATTAAAGGTAATTTTACATGCGCTCGCCTAAGATAAACAAATTCTGTCCATATATTAGTCAGTAGAACTGACGACGAAGTATTCATTCCCGAAAATGACTGTCAATGATACATTTCTTTTCACGATGTTTCCATCAGCCAGCAGTGACTATGTATTCAATGGGGATGGTAAACAAGAATGGCAAATAAAACGTGATAGTAACGTACAATTCACTGTCTATGGTATGTTGAAAAACTAACAGTTCGACTGTCTTCTCTCATATCTATTTGATTAGGTAAAAACTTGAACGGAAGTGTGCTATCATTTACAACTCACTCCAGCTCATGTCTATTGGAGCAAAAAGATCATACGTTTAGCTTAACATCGACCGCTTTAAATTCCAATGATTCTATGATTGAACAGGCTGTTTTGACGGTTAATTTACCGTATTATGGCTCGATATTGTATGTTTGTCTTCAATCAGCGAACACGCCGGTTCCGTCACATCAAGGTGGCCGGTAAGTTGAGACTCTTCTAGTTTAGTTTCCAATTCAATTCCATCGATGAATCTAGACCGACGTTAAGATTAATCGTTACTCGACCGACTTTACCTGTTTGGACAACTATTCTCTTGCTATTGGTTCTCCTCTTCTTATCAAGTCTTTTCTCCGGTCTAAATCTGGGTTTGATGTCATTAACACCACATGATCTCATCGTGATTCAAGAAGCTGGATCACCTAAAGACAGAGAATATGCGAAACGAATTTATCCAGTTCGTAAACGTGGTAATTTTCTACTATGCACCATCCTTTTGGGCAATGTTCTGGTCAATTCAACGTCAACCATTCTTCTCGACACATTGATACACGGTGTTCTGGCAGTAGCAGGGTCGACTTTAGCCATCGTCATCTTCGGTGAAATCATTCCGCAAGCCATCTGTTCGCGGCATGGTCTAAAAGTCGGTGCGAAGACCATCATACTCACTCGTATTTTTATGATCCTTACATTTCCCATCGCTTTCCCACTCAGTAAACTTCTTGATCTTATTCTCGGTAAGAACGAACGTTTTATGAAGCAGTTTTTCAACCAACCTACTCATAGGCGAAGAAGTTGCTTCGACATATACACGTAATCAGATGAGCGTATTATTGAAACACACAGCCATGCCTGATATTGAAGAACGAGAGAAAAATATCATGACTGGTGTACTGAGTTTGAAATCGAAGAAAATTCGTGATATCATGACTCACCTAATCGATGTGTTTATGCTTGAAGCTGATCAAATTGTTGACGATGACCTTATTTTAAGTGTGCATGGTTATGGATATTCACGAGTACCAGTTTATGAGAAACAACGGTAGGATGAAAATAGCACCACTCATGTCATTTTAGACTTTGCCTTTGTTCTTTCAGTGAGAATATTATCGGCTTAGTGAATTTCCGTGACTTCGCACTACTGGACACTGAATCAGGAAAGTTTACTGTAAGAAATGTGATGACTTTTTATAACCGTCGCTATGCGAAAATAGTCATGGCTGACGATTCGTGCTACGATGTATTCAATAACCTTAAAAAGGGTAAGGACCGAAGATCGTGATCACCATCTGACTACGTTGAACTTATTTTAGAACACCATCATATGGGTGTGGTAGTTGAACCTGACCCTACTAGTGAAAAAGATCCTAAACCTCGAGCAATTGGTATTGTTACTTTGGAGGATATTATCGAAGAAATGATCCAAGAAGAAATCGTGGATGAAACAGATGTGTTCAGTAAGTGACAGAAACTGATTGAAGATTATTCATGAACAAGAAAACTTTTCAAATGATTGTAGCTGACAATCGTCGTAAAGTACGAAATGTTTTATCACAGGGACCTAACTTTTCAGCATTCATTCGTCAAACGGATGCAGCAGATGATACAACAAATATCTCCGCTCAAATGAAAGTCGCTATTCTGCAATTTCTTTCCACAGGTAATTCCATTCTCATTCAAGGGAGTGATTGTCATGTTTTACTCCTATGTTCCAGCGGTTGATCCATTTACATCCCGATTCATCTCGCCAGACATTCTCGCTCATTTGTTAAACATGAACTTCTATCAGCAATTTGACTACGATGAAGACAAGGCGCAAAAGGATAGTCCTACCTACATATATGAATATGGAAAATCAGTGGATTATTTCGTACTGATTCTCAACGGACAAGCAGAACTTATAACTGGTAAAGAGAAAATTGTTAGCATTGTTGGTCCATTTTCTTACTTTGGCGTTAGTGCATTACTTCCTGTAAGTTTGATTTTCTGTCTCGGTGACATTTTCAATGATGAGATTTCCTTTCGATAATAGAACGCCAATAATGAAGTCGAAGATGTTCTGCATGCTAAAGATCATCAAGTTCGACCTCTGATACCTGATTTCAGCTTACGTGTTTGTGAAAATCTACAGATTTTACGCATCCGTCGAAAACATTGGTTAGCAGCCGTTCGCGCTAATTTCTTCGAGAACAAGCAAAGTTCTACTACTACCCCTTCATCGATACCCAATTCAAACAACAAACAAATTGATTTTCTAACACAAGAACTAGAGAAAGCCAATTGTGTCTACAAGTTGCAAGCCAGCGTTAAACCAATCAATGAATCGACCGAGAAAGCACGCGATCGAGCGGTGTCTTTCACAGCAACAAAGGATTTGTTACAAGCCGAAGCAGATCATAAGAACAATGCCAGTCGATATCGTTCGTCGTCCGGTTTACAGACTGTAAACAAAACGTCGTCTGACAACACATCCATATCGAATGGGCACGTGCCAAATGCAACCGACGATCAATCAGATCTAACTAGCTTATAGAGACTCGATTGATGTTTGATTTCATTCGATAACGAAAAAAATATATATCTTTCAAAAGGAATCGTACAAATTATTTATTAAAAGCTTTTATTTTTTTGAATATTAAAAAAATCTAACAAATGATATGAACGGTTTGTTTGTGCTTGCTCTTATTTGCATGTGATGTTACTTTATCGTCATGCTGTTTCGATCGTCGATGTTGATGATGCTTATTCTTGTCTGACACTTGCAATAAATCAGCCAATTCTTGATGCCCATATTCGTTGGCTAAACGAATCAATACAAGTCGAATATCTTCAAGAAGAATCGAAGCGATGTTGTGCGTAAAAGTTTCTCGTACAACGATACGGCAGACAGTTATATGATTCGCATTTGCTGCAAGTGTATATGCCGGTATAATCCAACCACATTCCTTTAAACGTTGGACAAGAACTGTTTCATTAAATTGAAGTTTTTTGCCAGGATTCAAGGAAAATGCCACCATAGGTAATGAAGGTCTGTCGTTTTGACTACGGATAAGGAACAAGTCATCACCTATGGATGCTAAAGAATCAGCCAAGTACGTAGCATTGTTAATTGATATTTGCATAATTCGTTGGTAACCTTCCATACCTAATCGGAGAAATTGATAATATTGAGCGATAACATTCGCAGCAGAACGTGAAAAGTTCAGATTAAATGTCGGTTCATCAATACCAAGATAATTCACATGAAAGATTAAATCTTCCGGTAGATCCTCTTTACCACGCCAAATAACCCAACCTAAACCAGGTAACACCAAGCCATATTTGTGTCCACTTGTATTAATTGATCGAACCTGTTCTAATCGAAAATCCCATTCGATTTCGGGAAAAACAAAAGGAGCAATCATAGCTCCAGAAGCGCCATCAACATGAATCGGAATATCCAATCTTTTGTCGTGTTTCAGTTTCAATAGAGCACCATTCAATCGTTTGATATCTTCGAATTCGCCTGTTAACGTCGTACCGAGGATAGCGAGTACACCGCATGTATTTTCATCACATTGTGCAATAACTTGATCGATATTGAGAGTGTAGGAATCTTCTTCTAACGGGATTATTCGAACATCGATATCGAAATATCGGCATAATTTCAAAACAGAAACGTGAACAGCAGCGCTGAATATCAAATTACATCGAGTGGTGATCTCTTCGATCTTCTTTCCATGTTTAGCAGCTTGCTTAGCTCGCCAACGCCATTTAAGGGCTAGACCACCTAACATAATGGCTTCACTCGATCCAACAGTTGCAGTGCCAACAGCACCACCTTCTTCAATCGATGGAGCATGGAATAAATTAGCTAAAATATTGATACATCGATCTTGAATTTCATTACTATGAGCATATTGACTTGTGTCAACTAGATTCTTGTTTAAATTCTTCATCATTAAATGCAGACACGCATCATCGACTTCAGTTGTGACAAATGAAGCTAAATTTAGATCAGGATTGCCGTCCAGTCTGAGTTCACTACGAATGATGGAAGATGCAGCTTGTTCTGTTAATGGTTGATCAGGCATTCGGAATTTTGGAACATCGTTGTTAACCTCGATAAAACGTGCTAAATGGCCGAGCATGGGTTCGTCATCTCCGCTTGGAACATGGTACGATAACGACATTGTGCGATGATTGTTTTGGAAACAAGTAAAGATTAAGTCAAATGTATACACACGCCGATTATCTGAAAATAAAGAAAAGAATACCGTGACTAATGTCATCATAATCAAACACCAATCAGATAGTTTCGATAGTTGCCTCTATGTACACTAGAAAAAACAATAAACTGATAAAATCACCAAAAATTGAGCATAATGAAGGCAAAGATATAAACGAAATATACACAACACTCAGCGATGGCTTTATTTCCCAAATGAATCAAACATAATCATTTGGTACGTTTTACTGTAGTATATAGTCTATATGAATGCAAAAGCATAGTCACGCCTGAAGGGTATGGGTGGCTTTCAAATATACACCCGTTCTCCTCTCTGCTTGTTTGAATGGATACTTTTTCTTGTTTATACTTGATACAACTTGAATGTATGACAATAAAGGTACGAGCAATTTCGATGACGAAAAGGTTACATGGTATAACGGGTAAACTCGAGATATCTTATAAAGAATGATAAAATATTAATTTATGATATTGGATTATATTTCATCAGCATGAATTCATCGAATAAGGTGAGGTTATAGTCCACAGTATGATCGAGACATGTACGTATCCACTTATCCGTACATACTCCTAGAATCCGTCTGGCTATGGTGATTACATGAAATAGATCGATTCATACCTTAAAGTACTAACTATTGAAAAAAACAAAAAAGACTAGTTTATTGCGATAAGTGATGACGTGTACAAGTCAAAGCTAATATCACTTATCAACAGTAGCATTGGTCATAGGTTGAATAGTAGATTTTGTTTTTTTCTTGCGCTCCGCGAGACAATGACGCAACAGTCGATAGATAAGTTCACATAATTCAATTACGCTCAAAACACTCAATCCGATCCATCTAAACAGCCAACACGAAGCATGATTAATTTAGGGCAAAGGAAACGAATATCTTTTCCACTTACAATCCTGTTTGTCCGCCGATTGCAGAAAAAGTATCAACAATTGACAATTTCGCTTCTTGAATATATTCAACAGTATATTTATTGCTGCAAGACACTTGCACCTTCAAATAATTCCGATTGAAATAATAATCAAAATTTTGTGTAATATTACTGGGAAGTAGAACACTGATATTTGCTAATGGATTTGATATTAGACTTTGCCATTTTTCTTTATCGCCTTCGGATGGTGCACCCTGTGCACTGACGACCGTTTTAAAATCAACGTGTTTACATTGAGAAACACATCGTGAACACCATTGAGATTGAAGAGAATCATCAGACGACAATTGTTGCCTAGCACGAAGTGCACATGCAAGTTGACCAATCAAACTATTACATCCGTCGGCTGAAATAAGGATATTTTCATTCGTAAATATCTTTCGAGTAAAAAATGGAATTGGAAAAATGCATGAGCATTGAGAGTATATGTAAGACTGTTGACATAATTCCATACATAAAGATTCCGAATAAACGACATCAACCGATGCCGCTGGATCAATAAACGTTGATGTATATAGGCCACGTAGATCATCGGCAACAGATGCTGTGCAATTGGAATAAGGATATGGTAGGAACGTTGTTTCACTTTTCTGATAAGTTATCAAACTTGATGTACCCGGTTGAAGGTAAATACCTGTTTCAGTCGGTACAGGGAATTCATCGTTATCATGCAAAGTTAGCAGAAGACCGTTATCGTACCAAGTCGTAGGGTAAAATAGTTCTTGTGGTATATAAAGCCACAAAGTTAGACCTTCTCGCACAAAAACTGCGTCGCCATAATCACTTACAGTAAAAACTGTTCCTGATGCTTTCCAATTAAATGTATAACAAATACCCAAAGCGGGTGATATCGATGCTGTAAATGCATTCGAACAATCGATTCCATTGTAATCACATTTGAGTAGAATATCAGTCAGCTGGAAGCCGATTGAAATAAATTCATCAATTTGATTCCGGTTGAACAAATCAACAATAAATGGAATGAGAAGTGAGCTAAGAAAAGTTTCGTTATATGTCGCATTCGATGATGTCAAACGATGATAAAACGAAACTAAAGATTGATTTAAGTGATCGGAACGATAAGGATTGCCACTGCAAACAGTAACAGCCGGAAATGCCATGTGACGGTCGAGTCGTATCTCGACTTTAGTTTGTGTCGGATAGGAAAAATATTGTAAAACATTCGATATAACAAAATAGAACATGACACCGCATGTTATGGTAAATGAACATACCCAAAATATCCGATTAAATTTCGAATAAGCACGACCTACACTTCGTAAGCCGTGTGTTGAAGTGGCGATTAAATAATCGAGAATAATTGATTGACGACGTCGTTTAACGAAGTGTTTAGGATTGCTGGAACCGACAATATCATCCATCGATTGTATATTTAACAAAAAAATTCGATATGAGGTAGCGATCGCTACTTTCTTTTCTCTTATATGATATTTTCTTGTAGAGAAAGTCGCAAACGACACTTTTTATTTCCTTCACGGTTATGAAAAAAATTCAAAGATGCCAGTTTTTCATTTCTTTGAAACGTTTCAAGTAATGAAATCCGGTTGTCAGCATTGCAGAGATTGATTTTTACTCATTTTTCACTAACAAAAAATACTTCAAGATATTTCTTAACATGATTGTCGTCGCTTAGCGTTATGCAGAAGTGTCAGAAACGATACATCCAAGTTATCGTCCAAAATTATTACTAACTTGTCATAGTGATATGATTTTCTACTATGAGTTTGTCGGTTCGTGCACGATATTAAGTACTTGAAATGCTTGCAGATATCTCGAACCGAATTGTTGGCTGCCAGACACAAGGTAAGCAATAATCGTATGACAGCTTCTTCGTTCGATGAGTTGTCAAACAAAAAGCTACTTCTTTATGAATTGAACTTCTGCTGTCATTTACAATGTGATCTTTGAATACGAGCGGATTGACTTAATGAGAATGTTTTGGCTTTCGCGACATATCACTCACCCTTTCACCCAATAAGCGCTTTGCCATGAAAGATGCTTAAATCATGTTCGTTGGTATTCGGTCGAATATTTTACGGTTCGATATCCATCATTCTCTATCTCGTATTAACAGAACTGTTTAATGAGACGCTAATCTCTCCTGTACATAAAGCGTTCTTCATTATTATACACGTTTTTCCCTCGTGATCTAATCTGATCTTCAATCAACATTCTTCACTACATACATATTAGCTTTGCATTTGGACAAGTGTATTAAAACACGCAGAATGTATTAGAATGCGACTCGAGTTTTACTGACACAAATTTGTTTGTGTATACATTCTAGCTCTGGTCTCGCGTTGACTTAACAAAAACTGAATGTGCTCTTTTGATCGCCCAAATCACTCTGGGAGTACTTACATTCTATGCATGTTTCCAAAATTACAATTCGGTATTTCCAATTGTATAATTTTGTCGAAGCAGATTCATCTGAGAAAGACATCTATATTTACTCTTTGAATCTTATTTGATGCGTAATAAGTTATGAGCGAGATTTCATCAGACAAGCAATTTCTGCATTCTCTGTGATACATAATACAGATGAAATTAGACAATTATTTCGCTCAAGGAAACTTTATTCGATTCTAATGAAACATACCACCTGTTTTTCATATATTCATATTTCACCAATATCACTTCAACAGAATGTCATCCGAGAAAGAGTTACCTTAAAAGGTAACAACAAAGTAAACGCAATCATTAGTGACACACTCTCGCCTTCCTAGTAAATCATCGGAAAAGAAATGTCTCAAATGATGCAATAATGAAAGTATATTCTCCACCAATAACATTCGTATTCATTATAACTACAAAAAGGTGATAACAACATTTTGCTCTGAACGAAATCTTAACTTAAATTGTAAATCGAATTAGAAAAGTCAAAGTTGGCATATGTCTAAGCAAATAAACACATTCTTTTCTGAGTCAATAATGACAACCAAGGACAACGACACAATTGTATTGTGTGTTATCAAAGATACATTGGCTTTTCGTCGACTATAGAGATGAAGTCAACGACTCTCTTTCCATGAATTTCACAATCATCCGCGAAAATCTTATTCTTTTCACTTCATATATATCTTCTTCGTCATGTTGTTGAAGAAGATCACACAGTCACACTCTCATACCACACAAAAAGTCAAATATGGGCAAACTCGATGGAAAAATTGCATTGATCACAGGTGCCTCACGAGGCATCGGACTTGCTATTGCACAACAATTCATTGCTGAAAATGTACAACATCTTTTCATCACAGGTCGACATCAAAACACTCTCAACGAAGCGTTAGAACAACTTCGTTCACAAAATGTCACAACAGTACAAGGTGATGTGTCCGATATGACACATTTAGATTCACTTTATCAAATTATTCAACAACATCAACAACGATTAGATATTATTGTTGTTAATGCAGGTATCTCTCCTCTTGCTTTACTTGGATCAATCACTGAAAATGATTTTGATCAAACATTCAATATCAACGTCAAAGCCATTGTATTTACTATCCAAAAACTTCTACCATTATTAACTGATGGTGCATCGATCATTCTCATGGGTTCTGTTTCATCAATCAAAGGTCATCCTATGACAAGTATTTACAGTGCATCAAAAGCAGCTGTTCGATCATTTGCTCGATGTTGGTCAATGGAACTGAAACATCGAAGAATTCGAGTAAACACATTGAGTCCAGGAAGTATCGACACTGAAATGATCAAAAATGTTGCCAATACACAAGGAATAAAGGCAACTTTTATTTCTGATCTCATTTCAGCTGTACCTTTGAATCGATTTGGAACATCCGATGAAGTAGCAAAAACAGCTGTTTTTCTTGCTTCCGATGATAGTAGTTATATCACTGGTATTGAATTATTTATTGACGGTGGAAGAGGACAAGTTTAAACATTTTCATTTCTCTTTTTTTCAAATCGAAATAAATCTTCTTTCTTTCTTTCATTCTACGAATGTGATATATTTGTTTTTATGTGATGATCATTCTCCGAAAGATCTTTATCTTATCTTTTCACTTTTCACAGAGATCCATGTTTTCTCATAGGGACTATAAAATCAAACACTATCATCTTCTTCATCACATCCCTAACCATGAAGAATCAACCTCAACATTGTTCATTGACAGTATCAACACAACGACAACCTTGTCGATTAGATTGGGCACAATCTTCTCCTTTTCGATGGCTTTATGTTCTCTTTTGGTTTTGGTTAAATCCAATATTCAACAATGCTTCTAAACATAAAATCACTGATGAACATTTATTTGATGTTTCACCAACTGATCATTGTCAACATTTAATAAATAAACTTGAAATTGTATTGAAAACATTTCAACATTCATCTCAATCAATCAATACAAAGAAAATCATTGCAAAAACATTTTGGAAAGAAACAATATTCATCGGTCTTCTTCTATTTCCATATTTTGCAGCTAAAATAGCTCAGCCTCTTCTTCTCAAACAAATTATTATACATATCAGCGATATTAATGTATCATCATCTGTTATTTATCTCTATGCCATTACTCTTGGACTTGTAAAAACAATTCTTGTTTTGATACATCATCAATATTTCTTTCATATAACACGAATAGGAATGCATATTCGTATTTCACTTTCAACATTTATCTACAAAACATTATTATCATTACCAAATAATACGATACGAACAATAACATTTAGTCAAGTATTTAATCTTATTTCAAATGATCTCTACAAATTTGAACAACTTTTTGTTTATATTCATTTTCTTTGGGCTGGACCATTTCAAGCATTGATTATATTCATTTTCGTTTGGAATGAAATTGGTATTATTGCAACTTTATTCGGTTATGCTGTTTTATTAATTCAAATTCCTTTACAGTTATATTTTAGTTCTCTATTTCGATTTTATCGAAAAGCAACTATTCAATCGACAGATGAACGAATCAAAATCATTAATGAAATGTTAATGGCCAATCAAATCATTAAAATGTATCAATGGGAAGAAGCATTAGAACATCTGATTAATCAAATTCGATCGAAAGAGATTCAAAATATACAAAAAGCAAATCGAATTCGTTCGATTAACATGGCTATTCATTTCTTTTCGTTATCATTGATTTCTTTTGCTACATTTGCTGGAAGTTGGTTCATCGGTAAAACATTATCAAGTGTAACAATCTTCACTGTTTTATCATTCTTTGGAATTATGAAAGATCCATTAACAGTCGGTTTTCCTTATGCAATTGAAACAATTAGTGAATGTTCTATTGCATCTCAACGAATTGATCAATTTATGAATTTATCAAATACAAATCAATCACAACCCGCCCATCATCATCCTCATTGTGATTGTATTGAATTGAACAAAGCTTCATTTACATGGGATTCTTCTCAATCACCACAACTTATTGATCTTGATGTCAAGATCAAATCCGGATCATTTGTCGCTATTATTGGATCAACTGCATCTGGAAAATCTTCTTTATTAGCTGCTATTCTTGGTGAAATGTTTCTTGTCAAAGGTCAAAGAAATGTCTTTGGTAACATTGCTTATGTTTCACAAATACCTTGGATATTTACAGGAACTATTCGAGAAAATATTTTATTTTATCAAAATTATGACCAACAGAAATATGAACAAGTCTTAGAATCATGTTGTTTAGTATCTGATTTACAAAGATTTACAGTTGGTGATGAAACAATGATTGGTGAAAAAGGAGTTAATCTAAGTGGAGGACAAAAAGTACGAATTGCACTTGCACGAGCTTTATATATGAATGCAGATATTTATTTATTTGATGATCCTTTAGCAGCAGTTGATTCTCATGTCGCACAAATCATTTTTCAACAATGTTTTAGTCAGAAAAGTCTCTTAAAAAACAAAACACGTCTCTTAGTTACTCATCAAACACAATTTCTCTCTCAAGTTGATTATTGTATTCTCTTAGATCATGGTCATATTCAACAACAAACTTCATTTACTCAACTTACCAACATTGACAATATTAAACATAGTAATCATTTTAATACAATTCATCAAAATAATTCCACAACAAATCAATTCGAAACTCATGAGAAACATTCGATTATCAAAGAAGAAACTTCTAAAGATGGAACAGTGAATACCTCGATTTGGTTCAAATTATTCACTTCGAGTTATGGATGGAAAGGATTCGTCTTTCTCATTTTTTTCATGTTACTAGGTGAAACTCTTCTTGATACAACAAATAAATGGTTAAGTGTTTGGTCATCAACATCTGAACAACAACAACAAAAACATCATTTTTATATTTATCTTGGATTAACGATCACAACATGTCTCATTGCTCTCTTTCGTGCTCATGTTTTCTTTCATCTCATCCTACGTAGTGCATCAATCTTTCATACAAAGATGTTAAAAGGTGTTCTATATACTTCATTGACATTTTATGAAAGTAATCCTATTGGTCGAATACTCAATCGGATGAGTAAAGATCAGCAGATTCTTGATGAACAATTACCAGGAACTTTTTTTGATGCTATGCAATCATTATTCATGACTATTGGAAGTATTATCATCATTGCAATGGCAAATCCTTGGATATTGTTGATTCTTCTCTTCATTATTCCATCATTTATTTGGTTTAGAAAAATTTATCTACGAGTTAGTCGACAAGTCAAACGATTAGAAAGTACAAGTCGAAGTTCAATCTATGCTTTATTTTCTTCATCATTCAATGGATTGATGACTATTCGAGCATTTCAAGTTCAACAACACTTTCTAAATTCATTTATGGATAAAATCAATGCAAATACACGTGCTTTGTTCATTTTCAATTGTTCAACTCGATGGTTTGCATTACGATTAGATCTTTTGACTTGTTGTTTCACATTTGTTACAGCTATTCTTTCTGTTATCCTGCGACAACACATCGATTCATCTTCGCTCGCTTTGGCTTTGGTCTATGTCATTAATCTTTCCGAATTATTTCAATGGGGTGTTCGACAATCAGCTGAAACAGAAAATTTCATGATTAGTGCAGAAAGAATCGACGAATATGCTCATCTACCTATCGAAACAGGTTTCGATGAAGACGAGATCCAACCACCCATCGATTGGCCATCGCAAGGAAACATTCAATTCAAAGAATTTCATTTCACATATCGACCTGAACTCGAACCTGTACTCAAAGGAATCAATCTGAATATCAAATCGCATCACAAGATTGGTATCATCGGACGAACAGGTGCAGGAAAATCATCCATCTTCCAAGCACTCTTTCGACTCACTGATAAATCGACTGTTACTGGTCAATTACTCATTGATGGCATCGATATTAGTCGAATCAGTCTACGAAATCTGCGTTCAAAACTGAACGTCATTCCACAATCACCTGTTCTCTTCAGTAATACACTTCGATACAATCTTGATCCATTTCGTCACTACACAGATGAACAAATATGGAATGCACTAGAAGCAGTTCAGTTGAAAAGCAAAATCGCAAATCTCGAAGATCAACTCAATACAAAAGTAGCAGAATATGGTAATAATTGGAGTGTCGGTGAATGTCAACTGATATGTGTGGCACGTGCAATCCTAAAACCAAGTCAAATCCTTCTTATTGATGAAGCCACTGCACATATTGACATGAAAACAGATCATATCATTCAACAAATCATTCGTGACAAGTTTCGAAACTATACGATCTTAACAATTGCACATCGACTGAACACCATCATAGACAATGATCGTATTGTGATAATGAACAACGGAATCATCACCAACTATGGAATACCACAACAATTATTATCACATATAGATGAAAATCAAGAAGAAGAAGAAACGGACACATATCTTTAATTTCACTAAAATAATATTCGGAATCTTCGCTTTTCTCTTTTCACACTGGATGATAATATATAATACATATTAACTTTGCCCATTTCATAAAACGTTCTTCCACATTAGAAAGAAAAGACTTCATTATCCACAGAGATAATCTGTGAAAGCATCCCCTAGTCTCACAATTTCGTGTTACATCCTATGAAATTCACATAATCATTCACTACAAACTCCGACATCTAATCGGAGTTTGATTACTTTCTCATTTCTCAACAACATCGAACAAATCAAAGCAATCACAAATGGGCACGTTTCATCCATCTCACTAATGTCATCAATGTGAGAAGAAGTTCTTTTCGAAATGTTTTCGATACCCATGTGTAGAGAAAAAACGTGCTCTAAAAGTGAGACATGATCATCTTCCAGAAAGCGACAATAGTGATACTCACTGCAGTGTATGTGTACAGAAGAATCAGAGCTGTTGAAACAATGAATGCATCTATCGCAAGTTGATCTGTTGATTTGGGTAATGTGCTTGTCAAATAAGAATAGAGAGGAAATATGGTGGATGTCATTGCGAAAACAACATAGAAAATCACTTGTAACAAAGAGATTTTCATCAACTGGAATTCTCGTCGATAATGACTGACATTCATTGAAAGAGATCGATTCGTTATTGCTTTTTTTGCTAAGTTCGCAACATTGACTGAAGGTTGAACGATTTGAACACGCCGCCAATGACGAACGTTACGAAAAGTCAACAGAGTAAACGCACTGATGATGAGAAATGGAACAATAGATGAAATTGTGATTTGAATAGCATAGAATTCAGCATAAGCTGAGCCAAGTGGTGCTCCACAGAAATGTGCTGAAGTTATTTCATATCCAATCAAACCATGAATACTAAACACAAGCCAAAAACATACACTACCGATAATCAATGAAGTAACAAGACGAGGTGAACTGAATTGTCTGATTCGTGCATGTTGTGCTGACAAAATCCAACGATCAATCGAAATCAAACATAAGAATTGACGAGTCAGACCAAGACTGTAGATATAAACAAAGATTCGTAGTTTACAAAGACCAACATTCATTCCAGCAAGATCAACACCAGTTCGAGAGATGATCACTCGTGTTAAACCAAATGTATTGAAAAGAACTATTTGTGCAACAGACATTCCAATAAAATAACGTGAACAAGTGTTGGAACGTAATTTTCGACGAGAAAAGATCAGAATATTGGTGAGATTGCCAAGAATACCGATGATATAGACAGGCGTCATGTAGTATATCATGAGTGTTGTTGTTAAACTTGTCAATTGACTTGCAAGTGTCATTGTTCTCGTACCACTAGTTGGAATAAGTTTAATTCAGATATTCTATACAAGGTGTCAAGCGAGTTTCCAAGATAGAACTGAGAAAATCATTAATGCGAAAAGTAAAACTAATCTCGAAACACGCTATTCTTTATTGTTTCTCTCATCTAATAAATTAATGAATATCATTGAAAAAGGTCGGCAAAGCGTGAGTTTAGAGATGACCTTCGAATCTTTCCAGCGTTATTCTTCTTTCCACACAAGTAAATTATTTTCGTAGCACACAACTATATTTCATTCTTTTCTCCTACTCATCCATTCTCTTTCACATCCTGTGTTCTTTTACTTGTTCATTAGGTATGCACCAGTGCATCATACTTCATTTGTGAATACGGTATATATAACGAAAATCATGAGGAAACTAAGGAATATTATTATATAGTCATACAGTATATTCTTTGTGATATGAGACATAGCATTCGAATGTCAACAGATGCATTGATTGATATGAAAAGCCATTAAGTATTTCGTTTCACTTGTATTGCATGTTGAACGAATGGTATTTCTGCTTTATCTGATCAACTACAACTACTTTCTAGTAACTTCACGTTAGGATAGACAAGTAGTGTCATAACATGTGAATAAGAGCAATGAAAACAGTTGTTTGTAAATGTATTTCGATGTTCAAAAATGAAAATTAAGTGCGAGAAACACTATTTAATCAGTGTCTGTTTTCAATACTCGAATAAATGACAATGACGACGACTGCCACTCATTGCACCCAAGGATACCGTTTGGATGAATTCGATTTTGTGTCTCTTTATTCACAGATTTGACTGAGACAAAGTGTTTTTCATTTAGATCAATCGATGTCGAGAAATGTTCATTTCACGTGGTATTTACATAACTTATTCCATCAACCACTGAATTTTGTCTTCTACCTTTAAGCTATGTTTGCGGAACATTTTATGACGACATCAAACAAATCTCTTGCATAACTTGTGACTTTTACAATTGTAACTCGAATCTGCAAGACAGTGAATACCCGGCTATATATAATCCAAATTTTTTTATCAAACAAAACACTCCTATAATCGACTTGAGAGTTAAATGTTCTTGCTACTGGGAGAAAATACATAGTGAATGCGATTGTTAATGATTGCTTATGAACTTTTGAAATGAAACCGTATTTTAGTAAATGATATTGAACGATTTGATAGTTTGATGATGTTCAGCAACAGTTAAAATTCAAAGTAGAAAGTGGAAAAGAACTGATTCTTCACTTTTTTCTATGAAACTCCTTTTCTTCAATGTTAAAATATTTGTTGTCTACAGAAATAGTTCATTATTTATGATATAAACGATCAATATATAGATAATTATTTGAGGAACATGATTCTTCGAGTTTCATCTTAGTTTTTTCGACGACGACAACAACAACAACAAAGTTAATTTTCCAGAATATGAACTATTTATGAAATATTTGTTCCAAACGATCAACTACACTTGAATTACAATAGTTGAAAGTCTTAGAGAAAAGAATCGATGAATTCACTCTATTCTTCCTGATATTGCATCTCTTCGATGTGTTACCATCGTTTCAATATCAAGCACATCTTTGCAAGCATGTCAGTTATGTGAATTAAACCAGACAAGCGGTAAAGATTGCTATTTGATCGACATGTATCACAACTTATCAAGATGTTGTTTACTGTCAAGTATTCACTTTCAGTTTCGTCTATTCAGTGATTATATCGATAATGAATATCTCATACCTGATGAAGCCAACACCACGTATTTTCGTATTTTGATGTCAAATGATCCGTTCTTGGATACACTTATCTTTCTTGATTTCACAGAAACAGATATTTACAATACAAATATAGTAGCTGGTGTCGGTGTAACATCATCTTTTAGCAGAGCGAGTTTAACATCGATGACTTCATGTACTTGGTCTACTGATTTAGCACCATAGTAAAAGAGATATAAATACGAATGTCTATAACGCGGTACCATCACTTACCAAGTCAGGTTTTGTTATCAGCCATTCACGAAATCTGTCACGATTGGAAGGTGTATGTTTTGCTAGTTACAATCGATTAGATAGATAGATTACCTCGTCGAGTCACTATTGAAAGTAGTCAAGTTCTTTTTGGTTCTAAATTCACTTTTGAGTTTAGGAAACAGTTGGATTCAGCACTCTGATTTAGATTGAATCATCGCCGCTGTGACAAGTTTCGCAACAGGATCAACTTTCTTTTCAAAGCAAATAACCAACAATACATAGATAGTTATGCTAGATATCGCCGTTCGATAGATCAAAATAAAAGTTAGTAATTACACTATATTAATCTATATATATAAAGAAGAAAGTTTGTCTGTCTGTCTGTCTGTCTGTCTGTTCGCTATGCATTCAGTCCCTGTAGCAGCTATCGGCGTGGAACTTTCCACAATGCTTCCTGAGACCCAGAGGAAGGTCGACATCTACTTTTCCCCGAGAACAAAGGAGCCAGCCGTTTGCTGCAGGCAATATATGAAACGGACCAATANAAGTGCAATAACTGCATCATCATAGAAGTGCCATGATCTTTTGGCAGTTAAGTTGTGCGTCGCTGTGTCCATCATAGCAAAACCATAGAGACCATCACTGACACCGCCAACAAAAGGTAATCTGATAAGAGAGGAGGGTACATCATTGCATGTGACGAGTGGAATATCATGTTCAACAGTGATGCCGTTGATAGCTTGCCAATCAAGTAGTGGAAATATGAACACATAATCGTATGTGTTCGTTGTAAACAAATTTAAAATGCCTTGACCGGTATGTTCTCGCTTCAAGTTTTCTCCATTTCCACATTCATCGGGATTCGTTCGAATCGACTGCATTTTGATTGCACTGGACCAATTTGTGCGACGATGAACGTGGTAATCTGATGTATAAAAATGTTTATTGCCCACCAGTGCCGTAGCATTGGCCTGATGATCTAAGCGGTCAGCAAGATTATTCAAATCAGTTCGCAGGTCCACTGATGGAATCGTTTCTGCCAAAACTCTAATGTCTTCAGACTTATAGAAAACAAGATATCCTCTATCTGGTCTCGCAATAGCTCTTCCTTTGACGTGCCAATCCCATTGATTATCAATGATCATCCATGCGTCGCCTTTAACTAAAAATTGTGCAAACAACGTGAGCTTATCGAGACTGGGGGCATATTGCGTGTTGACACTACATAAGAAAAATGAAAAGACATTCATAGCCCAATCTTGACCGTAAGCTGCCGAGAGTAGCTGTGTTCCATGAAAATGGTAAGCATAGTCATTTTGAACACCATCTTTACCTAGTGGTTGAATCATGATGTCTTGCCACATTCGAGTGAAACCTTGTTCAATTCCTGTTATATTTCGAGTTGCTAATGATCGGTATAGTTGAGCTTGAATCATCCATACTAAATTACAACCGGTCGTCCACATATCACCATTCCACCAATTTGCACGAAACGAAATCTCTTTGATTTTCTGCAATTCAAATTGAGTAATGTCATCACCTAGCATTAATAAATGACTGGTGACTGAAATGGGTACCGAAATTCGATTCCACCACCAATTCGGATTTTGCCAGTCCCGAACTAACCAAGTATTGAGAGCACAATGTGCTGCTGAACGTAACTTCGTATTATTTCGTTCGGTTGTACCATTGGCAGTTAGGGCTTGTAACATAGTCGTAACTCTTGACATATGGACGGCGGTTAACCAATTAGCGCGACCAGCATCTGCATAATCAATATCTGACCAATAGCAAGAACTATTCAATGTTTGAGCAAATGATAATGCCTTTAGAATAATCGAGGGAAGTGTATTCGGCGGTGGCCAAATCATCTTCTCTAATACACGCTCGCGAATTACTGTAATGTCATCATTCGACGAAAATGCCGCCGATTGTTGAATTACTAATAGGAACAAGAGACAGCAAATCATAGAGTTACCCTTGTTTCTCGAAGCTCTAAGCATTCTTGATAAAGTACTGAGTGAAGATAGTATTGTAGGTGCGCGTTTTTATGTTCTTATCAGTGGAAGATAATATGTAAAATAGAAGAGTTTTTCACACCACTTGCCTTCTCAAGAGACTTTTATTTTAATTTGAATAGATAAAACAAAATACAGTTGGTACATAAAAATAGAATGAAAGAAAAATATGAATACCATTAGGGAACAATGTAAAGTTTACGCATATATGCGGCATATATTCAATCTCGATCCGTTTCTTGTGATTCAAGTTCATCCCAAAACTTTTTTATGTTCTCAATAGCAACGATTTGTTCTTTTTTAGAAAAATTGAATAAATCCCAATTTTGATTACAACTATTATCTTGGCAAGCAAATGGCATTCGATTTAACTCTTCCCCTTTATTGTTCTCATTGACCCAATCGATTGATGTTTGAGCGAGCCCTTGTAACATCGCACGAACAACATTTTTTTCTGCTTCACTCCAATTTCCATCTCGACTACTTGTTGTTCCACCTACCGAACACTGCTGGTATAGTCTCATCATGGTTGAGAGAAGCAGTGGCATATAGCATCGCACGGTATATAACGCTAAACAATTGAGATGTCTTGGACCGGGGACAAGTTCCGACCGACTATCTCGAAATATTTTATTGAAATGACTGAAGATATAATAATCGCCATTTAAAGCCAATGCTGTTCGCAAAGGAATGCTTGTCTTAATATAAACATCGTGATAAGTTGTACAGAATTCATCACAACAGGTTTGAATATAATCGTTTAACATACGTGTGGTTAAATCTAACGATTGATCTTGATGTTTTGAAAGAAAGAATGCCTGCAATGTTTCATGAGGTGTACATTTTAGCTTGTCAGCTACAAACTGCAAAGAGCCCATGAAAGCTCCCACTGCAGCTTGTTTGACATAAGCTAGATACGTTTCATTTTTACTAACGGCAGCCATTTGAACGAAGAAAAGATTGAAAACTATGACAGTAGCGTTTACTATTTATAGAGGGCATCATTGCCGAACGATTGTGAAATTACAAGTATGTATTAGTGAAAGAGATCTCAACAAGATTTTCGTTATAGTATAAATTCTCTTTGTATTTTTTATCTGACCGACATTCGATCTGCCACGCAATGCACATGATGTGTTTAATGTAGCTTTTCAGCTGACATAAGTAGATATCAAATCCTGACTATGATTGCATCATTGAAAACGTTATATTATTTCTGAAGTGATACCGCTCGACCGGTAGATCGATTCTCGAAAAGTTGTCCCACGAGAACAGAAACGCATTAAACTTAGAGGACAAAACGAATGTGTCAATTAGTATACACCGTAAACGAAAGAAAAACTACGTCATCGTTGATCATCAACGTGTATAAAGAGTACACTTCGCTTATCGAGGTATGTGCGCTGAAATAAACATGGATGAAGCCATATGAACAAATTCATTCGAGAAATCTTCTGACGACAGTACTCTCGATTGAAAATAAAGACCATTTAATCTGGTATGAACTATGATTGACGCAAATTTTAGACCTTGTACATAATGCACGATCAGGGCGAACTTGTTCAGATCGTTTCGATTTTTTGTACCGAAATGTCCTTCACAGAATACGACATTCTATTTATATAGACAAGGAAAGGTATTTATAGTAAATAGACAGCTGCACACCGTATAAAATGGGCCTTCGTTTCGACAGGTTTTCAAATACTTGTTATTGATTTTTCTGTACAATCTGTTCGAAGCACTTGATAGCCTATTTGCAGAACAACGAACGTCTTGTACAAATCCCTGTGAATGTGTAAACGCAAACGTAAGTAGAATTTGGTCATTGTCAACAATATCGGTGTTTCTGGCTTTAGATAATAAAAAATTAATCGAAAAATGGAAGGCAAGCTCACTGATAAAAGTACAATCATCGAAATTCCAGAGGATCCATTGAGAACCATAACAGTCGAAGAATTGTACGATGACGATAAATTCGATTTTTCTAAGATGGAAGAGAAGGATTTATTTCTTCTACTAGAGTACGATAACAAATATGTTTTTTTTTGCTTTGAGACATCTCTTTGTTTTGAATTAAAGGTCATCACCGGATGGTTTAACAGATGGTCAAGTTAACGAACGACTCGAAAAGGTAAAACTATGTCATATTTAGTTCGGTTCTCTAATAAGAAATTGCAGTTTGGACCAAACAAAATAGAAGAAAAGAAAAGAAATCCGATATTAAAATTTCTTTCATTCATGTGGAATCCATTGTCTTGGGTAATGGAAATAGCAGCCATTGTTGCCATTGCTCTAACAAATGGTGGAGGAAAACCTCCCAATTGGCAAGATTTTATCGGCATCGTTCTACTTCTAATCGTGAATTCAACAATTAGCTTTATCGAAGAACGAAATGCTGGAAATGCTGTTCAAGCATTGCAAGAATCCATAGCACCTGAAGCGAAAGCGAAACGTAATGGTGAATGGAAAGTTATTGAAGCATCGATGCTTGTTCCCGGAGATATCATAAGTCTTAAATTAGGTGATGTTGTACCTGCTGATGCGCGAGTTATCGGTAAGTAGACTAGTTCTTTACGATGAGGTTAACGATATTGAACAATTATCAAACGTTTAGCTGTACATGGACAACTTCTGATGAATCAAGCAGCATTGACGGGTGAATCACTTCCGGTTAAGAAAGAGATTGGTGATGAGCTGCTGTCTGGTGCAATTTGTAAACAGGGAGAAGCTGAAGCTATTGGTTTGTTTTATTCCTAATTTTCGGTACTGGAACGCGCTTTGTCTAATCATCTAGTGATGGGTACCGGAAAATATTCATTTATGGGGAAAACCATTGGCTTAGTTGGGAAACACGATGACACCGCACATTTACAAATAGTTATGGGCCGTATTGGGATGTTTTGCATATGTTGCATCGTAATATTCTTGATTGCTCAAATCGTAGTTATGTAGTATGTATTTACAAATGATGAACATTTAGGTTAGCGTATACTTGCATTGATTTAGTGGTGTGTTTCGCTATGAATATCGACGCGGAATGAATAATTTGATTGTTACTTTAATTGGCGGTATTCCAACAGCAATGCCCACAGTATTGACCGTGACGTTAGCGCTCGGTGCTAGACAGCTATCCAAACAAAAGGCAATTGTAACACATGTGTCAGCAATAGAAGAACTCGCTGCTGTCACGATCTTATGTTCGGACAAAACGGGAACATTGACACTAAATAAACTTGTCATTGATAGACAAACTTTAAAACAATACTCGGATGTTGGATTGGATGACATTATTCGATATGCAGCTATTGCATCACGAACTCATCATCAAGATGCCATGTAACTCTTCCAGAAAATAAACAGAAAAATAATAATTTGACATTGATTTCTTTTAGTGATGCTTGTATAACGGAAGCAGCTGGTGATATTCAAAACATACGCAAAGGTATTGAAGAATTACATTTTAAGCCGTAAGTTGCAATGTACTCGTTTACTTTTCGGCACACGTTGTTTTCTGTTAAGCTTCAATCCTACAGATAAACGTACGGAGATCACGTACAGAACTATCAACGATGGCAAGGTGCATCGCATTTCGAAAGGAATGTCACGTGTCATATTAGAACTGTGTACACGCGATAAAACGGATGAACTGATAGAAAAATTGCAGAAGGATGTTGATGAATTCGCCAGTCGAGGTCTCCGATCATTAGCTGTTGCTATTGAAGATGTTACAAGTGGAGATGTTGGTGGAAAAGGAAACGGTTTTAAGCTAATCGGTCTCTTACCGATCTACGATCCACCACGTGAAGACACAAAAGAAACGATTGATCGTGCAATTGAACTAGGTACAGATATTTCTTTCTCTTCATCAAGTGAAACTGTTTGTCTCATTACAATCAAGGTATCAAAGTTAAAATGGTAACTGGCGATCAGTTAGCTATCGCCAAGGAAACCGGCCGACGTCTTGGAATTGGTGACAATATGTTTCTGTCGAAAGTTCTTAAAGATGGGCCACCGGAGGGTTCAGCTTATCTAGATATTGATGATTTGGTTTTGCATGCTGACGGATTTTCTGGCGTTTATCCTGAACACAAATACGAGATTGTCGAACGACTACAAAATATGGGTCATATGATTGCTATGACCGGTGATGGTGTGAATGATGCACCTGCACTGAAAAAAGCCAATGTTGGGATCGCTGTTGCCGATGCATCCGATGCAGCACGTTCAGCAGCTGATATTGTTTTAACAGAACCTGGTTTATCAATTGTGATTGACGGTAAACAGAGCATTTTCTTCCTATAAGGAAGTATAACACTTATTTCTTCCATTTAAATCAACAGCTATTCTCGGTGCGCGCAAGATCTTTCAATCCATGAGAAACTATTCTGTTTATACATGTTCCATGACTATTCGTCTATTAGTTGGTTATTCAATACTTCTTTTTGCTTTTCAATATGACTTTCCATCATTTATGGTAGATAAAAGCTTTTCAAAATTCTTTTTATATTTACTTCACAAAAACATCTCGTTGTTCGTTAGTTACTCATCCTGACCCTTCTCAATAACGGCACAATGATGACAATTTCAAAAGATCGTGTCGAGCCATCTCCATATCCAACGAAGTGGCTACTATCGGACGTTTTCGTCCACGCAATTGTATACGGAATATACTCAGCACTCTCTACAGTGGCACTCTTCCTCATCATTGTTAAAACGAGTTTTTTTCAAGAGAGATTCGATGTAAATGAAATACACTATCGTCCATTGGATAGTCCCACTGCTCCTGGCTGGAATGATCCAGTATTAAATTCAATTATTTATTTGCAAGCTTCAATAATGAGTCATGGATTGATATTCATCACCCGCTCTCGAACGTTTTTCTTTCTTGATCGACCATCGTTTATGTTAGTTATTGCTTTTGTATTAGCACAACTTATCGCGACGCTGATTGCTGTCTATGCCAATTGGGGATTTGCTAATGTGGCCGCTTGTGGTTGGACATGGGCTGGGATTGTGTGGATATGGAATCTCATTTGGTTCTTTCCATTCGATTTAATAAAAGTACTGAATTGAAAAAGACACATATGAGAAAATGCTTTGAAATTTATCTTTTAGTTTGCTCTGGCGGCATACTTTGAGCCGAAGAAAAAATTAGCTATCGAAGAAACTTTACAGATCGAACCGTCGACTCCAGAACAACGTTCACGTCGTGAAATTGTCACATCTGCGCAGAAGGGATCCACCTCCTCAAGTGACCGCCGTCTGTCTACAATGAGTGAAACAGGAAACAGTTCATTTGAAGAAACAATCGTCAGAGCAGCAGGAAGATATTTTGCTCCACATACACGTGATCTAGCCGCATCACCATATCACCATCATTATCATCTCGCGCGAATACTTGCTGGTAACAATGATAACCTCTACCGAATCTCCGCCGATTCTGAAAATCTTCGAAAATTTTCATTAGTACAAGCTCATCACGCTGCCAGGGTACTCAAAGCACAAGCAGAAAGATTAGAAAGTGGAACAACGCCCGTGTAACTTTACTTGAAGACATTTGCGTCTCTCATCGTATTTATCAAAACATCGATTTCGTACTTACAGTTGAAAAACACGTCTAACAACATAAATGTTTCCTTTTTTCTCTCTCTTATTATTGAATGAATAGAGGTAATAAAGTCAAGAATTCGAACTGGATGATAACTATCGTATCAGTAGGTTTACAATCGTTAAATATCTGTAAGAAAGCAGTAAAAAATCATGATGGTAGTGAGTATGATTTTTAAACTGTATCTCTTCTTTTTACGTATGAGTACATATTCATCGAATGTAATTGTCATTGTAGTTGACTTCATTCGTTTGCATCTCCACGGTTTGATTCCGAACAATTTTTCATTTTTCATTTTCTCTTGATACGATTAATCTCTGTGTATACTTTCAAACG